AAACGCGACTGCGTTCGATTTAACTCTCACGTGACTTCTCACGCTTACTCGAGCCTGGCCCAAGGCTGCATCCGAGTCAGCTGTCTAGAGCTAGGTCTAGGTCTTCACTTCACGTTAGTACGGACGGGCCCAACCTCGTCCCCAGGGTGACGAACAGTACGCGCCCATCACTACCTGCTCTCTCACCCTGGTATTGGATCATTTGCATGTGCAAGATTTTTGCACACGTATGCAAATGAGGAATAGTGTGGTGCCTTGGATATGCTTTACATTAGCGTTTGTTTTTGTATGCGGTGTCTGGGGTAAAAACAGAGTCAATTCGTCGCAGCACGAGCACGGCGTGAGTTACGAAAACACGATTTTTTTAAATTAAACTGTTACGATCTTATTCGAGACAATTACATGCAGTATCACATTTCATATTAATATGAACAAACTGGACAGGAAATTAGTATTTTCGAGAAGGCGTGGACGAATGATCGCGAAAACACGTACTGCACGTTGTGAATAATAACACCAAGTACACGATAAAAATCCATTACTGGCCAATTGCGGTATCGAATCAGGATACAGGAAGAAAGTTTCCTATCCAGGGTTTACTATTGGAAACGAGGTTGGAAATAAAGTAAGCACTGGGGACGAGGTTGGGACGGGCCACATACCTGGCATTTCTAAACTAGCTCACTTTGGAGGAGCACGTAAAGTGGCAACCTCGTCCCCAGTGCTAACTTTATTTCCAACCTCGTTTCCAATTGTAAGCCCTGGATAGGAAACTTTCTTCCTGTATCCTGATTCGATGCCGCAATTGGCTAGTAATGGATTTTTATCGTGTACCGTTTGGTGTTGTTATTCACAACGTGCAGTACGTGACTTCGCGATCATTCGTCCACGCCTTCTCGAAAATACTCATTTCCTTTCCAATTTGTTCATGTTAATATGAAATATGATACTGCATGTTGTATAAAGATCGTAACAGTTTAATTGAATGAATCGTGTTTTTGTAACTCACGCCACGCTCGCGCTGCGACAAATTGACTCTGTTTTTACCCCAGACGCCGCATACCAAACCAAACGCTAATGTAACGCACATGCAGGCACCAGACTATTCCTCATTTGCATACGTGTTCAAAAATCTTGCACGTGCAAATGATCCAGTACCAGGGTGAGAGAGCAGGTAGTGATGGGCGCATACTGCTCGACACCCTGGGGACGAGGTTGGTAAAGTGGCCACTGGCACCATGGCTCGGTTTCGACGGCTCGAATCCATTAATTTGCAAAGTGGATTTAGTCGCCACATGACCTCTTGACCCGGTCCGGTTGCTATGGCTCGACCTCGAGTAACCCGAGATCGTTCGTTTATTGCTACAGATTGCGCATGTGTATCTATACCCAAGACAAAAGTACCCCCCGGCAGACCTGCCAACCTTTGGGATCGAAAAACTGTATTCTGAGTCTCCAAGAGTTGTATTTTTCTTTTAAAAAACTGTATTTTTCAAAAAATATGCATAGACGGGCTATACGAACAAATAAATGTGGCTGCAATGCTCCATTTTTAATAATCTTAATTAAAGGTATAAAAAATGACCAGAGGTCTCCCTGCGGGTGGTAAACCCAATCAAACAATTTGCATGAATAAGGATATTGATCATATACCTTATTCATAAACAAACTGCTTTAAAAACTATTCAATGCAAGTCTATCTAAACATAAACTAATGACTAGACTTCCTCATGTTTGAAATAAATAAACCTATAACGCAGGTGAAACATTCATATGACTTCCAAGTATAATCTAAACGTATTCATGTTTTATCACGTCGCCGCCAAGTGCCAGTTTGATTCTTGAATCATAATTCACGTGCACACACTGAATGTTTAAAAACAATACACAGCGATCGAACAGAGTTTTATTATATCATATATTTTATATGATAGCAAAATATGCACATGGGTAGTTAGCAACTATTGTAAGTGTCTAAAGCACTAATGTTTAATTTACATTCGCACATCTGTTGACAAAAATGTTATATTGAAGGCTTTATTATCCTTTTCGATATTTTTGTATTGGTTTATTAAGTATTGGAATTATTTTCCCCATATTATTGATACGGGTTGTTTCAACCTACATGTATGTTTCAACTGTGGTAGTTTCTCGAATGATTTAGACGCATAGAACGGTCGTTGATGTCAACTCCCTTAACTGACGGCCGGGCTAAACCGATTAGTCAGTTCCAAGTTGTCGCCTTCGTATAATTCAGTGATTTGATCAGATTGCCCTATCCCCACTACCATCAGACAAACGCATTGCAAGCCAAAATCACCCTTTTATTTCAGTTGTTTGTAGGCAGTTGACTGGGTCCTTATAATTTCGAGCTGCTCATTGTTTATAGCTCCGATATGCGATCGTAATCACAGTTTGTCTTTTTGCGAGAGTCACCACATATGCCTTTTATTAGGATAGCGCACTTTTAATTTTGTGTGAGAAATATTCAAAATAAGTGATCTCTATTATTTATTTTTTTTCAAAATAAAAAGCAACAAATGCATAAAAAATATTAGGACCCTTCATATTCTCCATTCCGACTGCAGTATTTTCTTTAAAAATGAGTTTCCATTCTTCGATTAACTTTTAGATTGTTCAGGGAAAAAAGGTAGAAGATAACACGGAAGTTGCCGAACATATATCCGCATTCGATTTGGACTTGGCTAGATTGCTAGATGGATCCTCAGCAGTTGGGTGAGATATGACCAACACTGCATCGCCTCATGCTTTGAAATTCCCAAGACATTCTAAGGAGTAGTCATGTCTCATCATCCTACCCCCAGACCTCGGAGCTCAAGTCTCGTAGACAAACATCAGAGATTATCTAAAGGCCCTCTGCTGTCCGCAGGGACAATACAAAGAAAAAAATACATCATGAAACAGGAAGGATAATGCCGATAATTTCATAGATCGCTTTCCTCTTTTTTTTTTAATCGTGTGAGTGTACTTTCAGCTGCAGACTTCCTCATGTGTGCCGAATCATCACCAAAGTATAAATCGAACACAAAAGAATTCGAAAATGCCAATTCTCTAATTTATTTATTTTCTTGAGTTTAAAATTAGTTACTTCAGGAAAACTGGATGGTTTTTCTTCTCACTGTGTGCATAACGTAAATATGTCTTGCCATAACATTTACACTAACTAAACAAGCGGATATTAAGATTAGTTTGATTTAAGCTGCGAACGGTTACTCTTACGATGTATGATTTCATCAAATTTGTTTCGGAAAAGAAATAATGACCAATCAAGGATGATGGTCACGCTGGTCTATACATGTCGGTTACAACACTGAAATATTGTTCAACATGCGCATTGAAATATCACCAAGCCAACAAGACAATCAATATAGCCTGCAGTATATGGCGCAACGATGTGGCTGTGAGTTAACAATACGTGTAATTGTCCTAATCAATATATTAAACAAGCCCTGGTGCTGATTGCAGTCTTATTTTGTGACATCACTAACAGGCGTTTGTAGACGAATACAGGACATGAACAAGATGTACTAATTTGACGAGTAAACCTATACTGGACATGGCGCACTCGATCATCTTCACTTGTTCAGAATTTCAATACAGGAATCAGAGTCAAACTTGACATTTCTTTGCAGAAGGATAAATCAGAAATCAAAGTTACATTATGTATATAGTAACAGACATCCCAATAAATAAATACAAAAGATAGATAGGGAAGCGTGTTAGAATAACAGCTCTTTCTAAACAAACTACCAAGAAAAACCTGTATAGATGAACATTTGACAAAGACAAACAAATCAAAATACAGAAAACCAAACGAGGAACACTGATGTGAAAGATCCTCGAATAAAAAGGAAAATGACAACTAAAGCAACATTTATAGTACGATTCGATAAAATTAGGGCGTCTTATATTATATAGAAATGTACGTTGAATTAAACAAATTCCCCGAAAACGCGGAGAATGAGAGTAGACGAGAGGCAAGACATGTCCAGCTACAAAAAAAAACACAACTAAAGATAAAATGTGAACAAGATGAGACACTGTCAGAACTATTCCATGTCCTATCCCAAGCTAAGGGGAAGGAAACATGCAATGAAATTAAGGTCAAACTAAGTAATGTAAGTGTGAATTGAACGTGAAGGGGCGGCAACTTAAGAGGCCTGAGGGGGCTTGTAGTGGCGGCCGTTACGTGTATTTGATTAGTTGGGTGTAGGATATTGTGTCGGGATGGGGACATTCATCTACACATCGGGTGCAGTTCCTTGCTGAAAATTTACGGCATTGCAGGATAATTTTATGGACTTTTAAAAAAAATATATGCAAACGCTTTAGTTCATTTCATTAATGTTTCCTGTAAACACCAATATCGATTCCAACACGAGACGAAATATACCAAGAATCTAGAACGAATTAGAATTAATGTTGTAATAATAATAACGCTTTTTATTTATTTTATAATTGTGAAGTGCACCCAAAATGAAATCTATTTATAAAAAATAACTGAATTGAAATAAACATTTAGGTCCAACGATATTGTTGAACAGAATTAAAGTAACTTTGCATTGAATTACATGGATTTTATCTCATTCGGTAAAGTATTTTGAAGACAATTCATCTTTTCATCCCGACCTAAAAAATAGACGCACAGGCTAAACACGGATTGCAAGGACACAACTATCATACACATTTGTATGGAAAGTATAAACACCCTCTTTTCAGCAAATTTCAGTGTAATGATATGCAGAGTCTAGCGAAGATTAAACCTGCATAAACATGCTTACTTTTTTCGCTTTCTCTGATATAAAAATAATCAAATTATACGACCCCAACAATTATCAAATATTGGAGAGAGAAATCAAATTTACTCTTCATTTTCCATTGTACTTGCTGCCCCAGACATAAAGCATGAATTAATTTCATTATATTCATCTGGGTCTCTTCGTTCCTGTTTTTTCCCCTTTCTCTCAATTACAGAGTCAGCGGCGGTACTTTCTAGTGGTGCGATGTCCTTTGTCATTTTCCACACGGAGCGTAATTACTGTGCGCTGTTCAGCCTGATGTAATCTAATTGAGCAGTACGGCATTTTCATTTTTCCATTTACTTGCCTGGAATAACATGGACACACCGATGGAGTGAAGCGACGGCTACACGCACAGCAGGCACGGCTGGCAACGGATAGGCTGTCCCCCGTACCTACACGTATCACTGCCTCGTCACTGCATCAAGACGATATCGCACACTGTGGATGCGATCATTGATGTCTGCCGTAAACTCCTTGAGTGCTCCACATTCATCTCAGATCAGCTTACCTGTGGACAACAGAGTGTCTTCTGTTCAGTTTCGTCCGACTGATGAAAAGTATTTTCAAGAAGTCTACTCAATATTTGCGTTAATTTACAAGATGTTCCGAATTTAGAAATACACACTGTTTCATTTGAATCGACGGTCATGGTACATAGTTTGGGATCAAAAGTCTTGTGTTTTCCTCAGTGGTCCGCGTGAAGGAAACAACTGACAACCTGCCAATCAAAGTGCATCAATGATCTCCGCACTTCTGTTTCGGATAACTCCCAAAATTCAATCATCACAGTAAAGTTTGAAGACGACATTTAAGTTGAGCATTCGCCTTGTACACATGTGTAGGGGTTGCACAGTCTGCAAATAAAAATACTGACTTTAGCTACTGGAACTCATTCGAATCACGCGAGGTACTTCTTATCAAAAACATATAAGTCCTACCAACATTGCAAAGACGTTGTTAGAAGTAAAGCAGCAATGTATTGTTACCAGTGTTCGTCCATTCACGCACCGCCATCACAACTCGATGTACCGTCTACAACTTGTGAGGGATCAAGCTGCTCATGTAAGTATTCCTTTTATTTTATTATTAAAACGAATTTGATAACATTATTCCTGTAAGATGATTAATACATATTTTGGGGGGTGTTTATCGGGAGAAGTGCTTTTAATTGCACCATGGGTTTAAACTTAGGAACTTTATTGTCGTACACTGTAAAAATGATAGCGATTGTCTAAAAACGTTTGATGAGTAATTCAGGGTAGGATAGTGCAGTCCCCCCCCCCCCCCCATTACCTGCTCAGGTAAGTAGAAAACAACATTTGCCATGCATACCTTCTGGCGCTTCATAAGTTCCCAAGTAACTTTTTCAAAACCGGAATATTAACAGCGACCGGGGATCTGGGAAAGAGGGAGGCAATAGTACATCGTGCAGGGATGACTGGTATTTTGCGAACATGTGCTGCAACACTTATGGAATCGTTACTGGTTAGGAGAAAGCAGCTGACTGAACACAGCTCAGCATACCTTGGGCCAATTACATCCCCACTCTACTCAGTTGCTGGTAACGGTGTTCTAACGATGGTATGACTGTCTGGTTCTCTGCTAAAAATGTTACTTTGCGAAGAGAATATACTGAGCAGTATCCCTGAAATTAGCAAAGAACAGAGCAAAGCAGAACTGATTGAAATACGTGAAACGTATATGACAATGAGAATAGGAACACGTCCAATTCACGATGGCACTATACAGGATTAGTAAAAGAAATGTCCCTTTGGATAAGTTTTTGTCTCCCACAAAAACGGAAAGGTAACCAGTTTTTTTTCTTCTCTTCAGCCATCATTCGGTCTGGGTGTGTACCACCGTCAGTACAAGTTTCACTGATTTTCAGCCATGCATGAAAAGGATACAGGCCTTTCTTTGGGACTACCCCAAAAACACTACCAACACAATGTTCAGGATAGGCCTTTTGCTATGTACAAAATGGCAACAATTGGGTCTCAACTCTCAAGACAATGAAGGAAATAAATGGAATAGCAGAACAGGACATCAATCAAATGGAATTACATTTATTGAATTTGAAACTGAATTACAAATAAGGTTCACATTTTCACTGTCCTGCTGCTCGACCTTCCACCTGTCTGTCATTCAGATCAATGCATAGTTAATGTGCCTGTGTCCTCATGTCTGCAATAGGGCTTGGATTTCACCAGTAATTCGTTTGCGAAGTTCCTGCAGGGTGTTAAGCACAATGCGGTACACCCGGTCCTTGCGGTAGGCCTATACCCCCATACATGTATAATAGAACAAATATCAAAGGGGGATGAGATCTCAAGATCTTGAAGCCCCTTGTTCAAGTTATTGTTTGCGCCATTAAATAACGTTAAATACTCCCTTAAAAAATATTGGGAAACAATGCGTTGGTAGTGTTTTGAAGTATTCTCAAAGCCTGTATCCTTTGCATGCATAGATGAATATCAGTGCAATGTGTACTGAATGTGTTCAATACCCAGATCGAATGTTGGCTGAAGAGAACAAAACTGTAACCTTTCCCGTTTGTGTGGGAGACAAGGAATATCCAAACGACTTTTTTTCATAGGGGCCTATATGTGATTTATTTTTGTATGTTTCTCATTGCCAATGGAATAGGATTATCTGTATTTTTATAAAATGCGGACACAATAAAGAAGCATAGGCCTAATCATAATAGTCATAATATCAGAGAAACGCTAGTGACAATATTAGAATGGTTAGCGTGCATTTTAGCACGTGAAGTGTTGTGGTAAATTAGTGCAAAAGTGCGTTGTCCATACAGTCACGGCTATAAACGTTTCTGCATAAAACGATGAAAATGGAAAATGCGATGGGCGGAGCAAATGGGATAGGTGGAGCCACTTGAAACACTTAGGACAGACTTGAACTCTTCGTTGACGTCGCTGTGTGCATTATTGTAAGTGGTTAACTTAACAAACAACGTGAAAGGGTTAACATTTGTTTGAAACTAAACATACACGGGAAAACAGGCTAAATCCAAGCATACAAATGTCAGGTCAATGATGTGAGTTGCGGTTCCAGCCTTGATGTTTGTACTCACAGATTGTGAATTTTATATTTAACTGATTCTATGGAGTCCGAGTACACATGATATTGGTGTGACTATTCCATGGTCGGGAAATTCGTGTGTCAATGGTAATAAACTGAGCTCCGATTATCAAATCCACAACATATGGGAAACATTTCTGTTAAAAAAAAAATGTATACGTTTATATCTCTTTTTTTTCTGAAATGGAAAATTTCTCATAATTTAGTGCACAAGGCACATACGAGTTTGAGGCCAAATGACAAGAAATGGTATTGATGGCATTGATTGTATTGTACAAAAAAATGAATACAAAAACTTGAATTATAGAACATTACAAGTGAAGTTTTATTAATTCCACTATAATCTAAAACAAAAGGGCAACGAATGAATCCATCTTAAGCCAACAAAAGTCATCATTCGAGAAACAAAAATGATACGACTTGCTGACAAGCCGGTGAGAAGTACAACGCACACTTTGATTTGCCTGGAATCATAATTATAACTTGGACTCAATCTATGCTTTTTAACGAGACATGCCCAGCCAATTGATTTTTATCATAAGAAAGCATAATGAGTGTTTCATTATAGTCATTAGGAAGCTAATACCATCAAGACATGAAATGAAGTGTGGGGATATTATTGGAGTCGCATTTGGTGCACATTACGTAAAATCTAGCGCCTAAATAACCCTCCCTGAAGTCATTACCCGTGTGTAATGAGCGGACGTATAATGACTTCCCCACGTCCTCCGAGTTTACTTGGACATTAGTTTCCCAGTATATTATCATATAGATCATAAAACATACTTGGAAAATTCTTTCAGTCTGAAGGCATGATTCCCTTATAACTAAATTGGGTAAACGTAGATACAGATGTAAGATTAATTAGTATTAACTATGTTACATCCGATCTGAGGTTTGTTGTAAATGTCGATTCATTGTCTTATTTTGCTGCTATATTCCCTCTTTGTATGCGATCACCTTTGTGACAATTTCTATCCGTAAACCTTATACTGTCCATTTTGTTCTCCAAGTTCATAAACATATTCTTTCTTTGATGGCTTGTACTGTTAACCTATTCACGTAATTCCATACCAACATGCTATTCACCAGATTGTTTGTATGATTTACGGTATTTAGTGCATGCACTGTATTTGTACTTTTTTTATTTACCTGTACCTATATTACAGTTTTCTTATTCACAAATATTTACATCCAAGGCTATATGAATATTTATCTGATGTTAATGTATGAAGCCTTCCGCTAGTAAACTTTTTGTTCGTTGGATGTTTTATACTTTTTTTAAAAAACTCTTCCGTGAATGCTGTGGTGTCCTTTGTTGCATTTCCATGTTGTTGGCTTGCTTTCCATGCTGCCTCCTTCTATGTCTGTATATCAACCTTCATCTGGCGTTACTGCATTTCAATGTGCATTTTTCATCCATGTATCTTATTGATGGGACATCCTAACTGTCTTGCAGTATTCTCTTCGCAGCATAAGATCCCATCTATTTTTCTGCCGCTCTGTCTTTCTTTCTTTTTTTCTCTCTCTCTCTCTTTTCCTTTTTTCCCATGTAAGCAGGAGGGAACAGAGGGTTTTCCGTCTCTTTCCCGTGGGAGCCTGGGCCTTACAGTCAGGCAAGCCCCCTAATCAAGTTAGCTTTCCCCGTACGTCGTTCGTATGCATCAGCCATCGCCCAACTCACAGGTTATGAATAATACAATTACTAAATTACGTCGGCAGTAATTTTCCCCTCTAATGCAATTACAGGGGATGTGCTTAACGGCAGCTTTTGAAATATTTAGCGCTCTGTCAATACAATTATAATGAGTCGGAATCGTCTGTATAATGTAACGCTATTACAGTTTTCCTGCTAAATTCAATTTGACAATGGAGAGCCTTTTGTGTTGTTTGCGGTAACTCCATTATATTTCTTCCAAACTTCAAATCGTGTGTATGGACACAGTGGCTTGATGGGGTTCGGCTTGCTCATTCAGGAGGAAGACGCTAAATGGAAGGTTGGATGAGGGTGTAATTTGGTCTTCACGCCTGAGTGGTGGATTTGCCTCTTCTTGACTGTATACCGTCTATGATTTGGACAGTGTCGCGCCGTCGACGCCCCGATAATCTCTCGCAATTAGAAGACGAAAATTGACGGCGCTTTGGCGAATGTTTCTAAATCCGTAAATCACGATGGGTGAGAGGCATGAACGCGCAATCAGTTTGAATTGTCGGCATACACCGTTGAAATGAGTATCATCCATGCGGATACACTATAAAGAACATCCAGCCACCAAAAGGGCGTGGCTACAGGGTTTGGAGGGGGAGTGATGGGGGAAAGAGAATAGTTTGTGGTGAAGAGAGCTCAAAAACAAAGAAAAACATCCTGTAGGAAAAACAGACTAGTTATAAAGTAGTTTTTGACTTTTTGTCAAGCATGAAACAACAACCTTATAGACCACAATACCTATTCAACAATGACGTGTAGCCTATTCCACATTTTGTGGCACACAGCGTGCCAATTATTATGCTGAAACAATTTTGCAATTGGGACCTTCCATTTGTATCCTATAATAAAAGATCCTACGTTGTATGTCTGTCGTGATGTCGGTCAGGATGTCGGTCGGTCTGTCTGTCTGTCTGATGTCTGTGTGTCACGTTTTTTTGTGTAAAAGGCCTAAAAGAGTGTGCGGCATGCACAAAATGAAATGGTTAATGTGTGGGGGTTTGGTCATGGTATATAATTTTAGGCTCCGATTTCGCGTCCTCTGAAGTCACGGTTGGCACGTGGGGAAAATGATTTGGTTTTTTGTGGTTTTTTTGGGTTTTTTTGCTTTTTTGGCAAATTATTTTGTTTCTTTCAGACATTGAATAGTTAAATATTACAACATTAGCTCTATTAAAATCTCCAAAAAGTATCGCTATTACGCAAAACATAACGTTGATGATGACAAATGTGGCAAAATTGCTTCACCAAGTGTGCCACGCCCACTTGGGGTCAACATGCAAATTGAGGTCAAAGTAAACATTAGTATATGGCTCCACCTATCTAGCGGGTGCGGCGCGAAACGCGGCATCCCGCTAGTTGAGTAAAATAATGACCCTCCGTGCCAACACCCTGAATAAAATGTAGACAGTAGTGCAGAAGGGGAACTCGCCAAGCCATGCAGAGTGCGACTGGGATAGGGTGAGAGTACTATAGGAAACTCATGGTTTGGTTTCGGGGACGGTCATCAACACGGAGCTTGCCAGGTGTGGGGTCAGGGCGAGGCTACTCAGCGATCCATAGCTGGACTGACAGACCTTTTGTGTGGGTCCATCCAGTCTTGACATGTAGAAAAGCATGCATTTAATTCATTAAGAGCTTGGGAATTTCCTTTTTTATTTCTTTTTATTACAAAAATAATTGGAGGCAATTTCTGATTCTAGTTTTGTTGATTGATCCCACAACTTTCATACATATAGACACCATACAGACTATTGCTTGAACTTTTGGGCCCATCGGTCGTCGTTTGTCCAGACTTATTAAATATTTCAACATTATTCCTGAATAAAAATAACGCATCAAAGCATCTTGCAAAAACAAAGCTTGTTTGCATTATACAAATTGTTCGAAGAGTCTTTCATAGATCACTTCAAAATCAATCAATCAGAATTATAAATCGTATTATGAGATTTTTTTTGTTTATTTTAGCACCAGTTCAGTTTAATATTTAATACTTCCTGTGTTGTGTAAAGCTATAAATACGCAGTTCAACCTTCTGGTCTAATTTATGAGTCGCCTACCAAAGTGAAAAGTAGGTTATTTATATACAGAAAGCGTAATTGCTTTACAAGTACGTTATAGCTTATATATAATTCGACTTGTAAGAATCGGGGTCGGTTGTCGTGATGTAATATGGCAATTTGAAAATGACCAACACGTCCAATGTGACTGTGATGGCGGCTTGTTATAGGTCGTATAGAGTGAGTTGAATGTATGAATCTTGATAGACCTGGATACATGCTCGCTAGCTTCCACTACTTGCTTCCAAATATGCCTTTATTGTTGATGGTGCTTTTCCATTGTTTAGTGCTCATTTAAACTCTAGAAGATTGTGATTCAGTAAGACTAGTTATTGCATCTTTTGATGGACTTCTTTTAACAACTGCTAGTCTGCAACCAAAATTGCGCCAAACAAGAGTGTGCTTTGGTCACTTTTTTTTTTAATAGTGATACATACCTGATTACTTGTACGCCACGATGTCTTGCAAGCCCTAAGTGAATGTTGGGCCATATGAAATGTGTACAGTGAACATTAGCCCACGACGCACATTGATCAATCTTTACAGTCATACTCCATTGACAAATTTAAACTGAAAATTCAGCTCAGCTTTGTAAACAAACACGCATACCTCGCGCACGCACACTTATTATATACATGCTTGCGTCGATGAATGTTGGGACATATACCATTTGTCATTTCATGTCGGTGCAAACATTTGGTCAAATAGGAAGGCGTGGCTGTAAATATTGAATGAATAACGGCTTAGTAACGAAGAGTAACGGCTTGGGTGGGAATTCATGCAAATTATGGAAAGAGGGGCTTGGAACTATCTGTTGTCGAAAGGAAAAACTTTTAAAAAATTTTTTAATGGAAATACATCTACAAATACAGACTTTGTATTCGATTTTTTTGGGGGTGGGTGGTTAGATCGGATTTTCCATCGGAAAAATATTTTTATAACATCTTATACGGGATTTGTGTGAATTAATATGTATCTTCAAAATCAGTCAGCATAATATTGAGTACAGTTGCTGGGAGAATCTTTGAAGTATATACATGTATAGACTCGACAACACAAGCACAATGAACGCCAAGTGATGCCTAAATAAGCGACAGCATACAACATTGCCGCATTGCCATGGTAACTGAACACATGCAGGTTCTTCATTTATTGAATTACCATCGTTGTATTTGCAATATTACGTATGACTGGTTCCTCAAGCATTCATTTAAGGAAAATGAAAGGCAAACATTTTGTTGACGTAAGTTCAAGAAGTGCTTTTCGTTTGTTTGTGTTGTTGTTTTACAATTGTGCCTGAACGAGTTGTCTTAACAAAAATAGATGTGGAATACATTAATAAAATAGGTGCAAGTATTCCCCGAAATCGGTCTCCTTGCCAATGGATAATCGCTTGCGGTATTTTCAATTGCGTGATAGACGAATTTCTCAAACAAACCAATTAAATAATACAATACTAAGACTATTTGTATACCAAATTGCTTTACAATCAGGACATTTTTGTTGTATATAGAACGAAAATCTTGATTTTGCGACTGACAACATGGCTATACTTGCGCGATTTATAGTCAGCAAGTTTAATTCGCTTGCCCTAATTATGGAGAGAAAATCGTGAGTGCGACATCTTTGTGGCATGTCAATAAAATTAGTTCAGCTCTAATGGGATCTAGTTTCCTAATTCGATTTAAAACGATGGCTTTTCTCCGCTGCCTCCCTGTGCAAACAACATCCACGGTAGGGGGAAATCTCTGAAACATTTACTTAACAATAAACGGAGCTGCGCGGCTTTGCTCAACTTAAACATGACATTGGAAAGAATTGGGGGATATAGTACACTATAAAGTGGGTGAATCAAGAAGTGTTTATGCCACAGGGGACACGAATTATGAAATGTCCCAGTCACGAAGATCGGTTTTAATAGCTTAAAAGGTATTCTTAAGTGAAAGGAGGACATAATTGAGTTAGATGGAACAATATTTGTTGGGTTTTTATCGAGGTTTGTCTGCTCGTTCAAGCTTGAGGCATTTTGCTTCGCATTATAAGTTTCCATGGTTCTTAATTTTTTTTTTTAGAGAATAATGCCGCATGATATATTGGTGTTTATGGTTTCAGCGACCTCAGCGGATTATTCACTACATGAATGAGACACTCTGAACCCTTATCTGTGGAATTAATTGACATTCACTTCGATTTGAAACTGTGGTGTTTGGTTTTTGGGGGGTCGGATTTGGGTTATTTTTCTATTCATGTGTCTACAAATCGTTAACAGAAGTTTTGTTTGTTTGTTTGTTTGTCAAGACGGTGATCTTTCATACGTCAGTGATGCCGACGATAGTTTTGCTCGAAGGAAGCAACGACGAAATAGAACAACGTTCACGTTGCAACAGGTAAAAATATCTAAGATAACATTACAGATATTTTCATCATTTTCACTTGAACGACATATTGAGTATTTAAACAATGCATCTAAAAAAAACAACAGTGTTTTCCCTCATGGAAAGTCCAAGTTGGGAAAATATACATCCGGGTCACTGGTCGTCAGTTAATATCGGACTTACATGTAATTTCTGATGACCTTTGCCTTTTTCTCAAGATGACTGGTGTTTTTTCAGCAATACTATAGGCTACAAGTATTTCAGGGTAAACCGGTATAAGATCGTTTGAGATAAGTCTCACTGATTCATCCCTTTTTTTCGAAGGGGTAGGGGCAAGGGGCCCTGACAAAACAGACACTGTGATACGCTTTCCATTACTTCTCACTATATAGCTGGAAGAATTAGAGACTGCCTTTGCTAAGACGCATTACCCAGATGTATTCACACGAGAAGACCTGGCTATGAGGATCAACCTAACTGAGGCTAGAGTTCAGGTGAGTTCACTTCCGGTTTGTCAAGATACCACGTACAATGCGTACGAACACATGTGAAATAGTATTTTTTTTTTACATTAATATGCAGTTTTGCTTGTGAAGTTTCTTTAATTGATTGTATTTTAGATTCTGTTTGAATTTTCTTGATGTCGTTCCTCTGAGCTGAGATAAGAGGCTACAAAGTGGAAGGAAAACCCAAAAATCAATTGAAATGGAAAATTGAAGAAAACATTTTTAAAGTTAAAGGTTGATGGTTGTGATTTTATACGAAGAGGCACTTTCGATATTTGTTAAATGTTCGTAATTGATGGATTGTATCAAGCAGAGCTATGAGGCTAACATCTTGCACTCACAGTATTAATATTACAATGGTGTTGTCAGGAGTATGGCACGCTTAAGTGACATTTATTCACATCATCTTGATATTAAATTAAAATGCACGTGGATGCGGTTTTTTTATGAGAAATCTCATCACCATTTCGGGATATCTCAAAATCACTCAAGATATCAAGGAAACGTTTTCATCTTTGAAATCATTTTGTGATATTTCAAAACAATCACCTGGAGGCACTTGCAAAAACTTTACGAGATATCTTGAAATACTTTTGAATAGGCTACATGTAGGCCTATCTTGAAATATATATGAAGAAAAGAGGAGATGTCTTAAAATTATTGAAAATATTTTTGAATAACCAAAAGCTATATAGGGGAGCCTTTACTGCTTTAAAATGTCACTCATGCTCGCCATATAATGACAATGAATTAAACACAGATTTCCACAAAATTCATTATAAAAGGATGAACTCTACTTGCCTTCATGATCAGAATATAATGTACCAGAGTACAAAGGAAAAGGTCAGATAAAACACACACGGCGACTGATGCTGAGAAGAATACTCAGCTCTTTTGAACTTGCAATTTGACTGTTAATTTCAATGTCGCAATTAATGTTTGATGTGCGAAATTGAACTGTAACAGTATTTGATTCATGGTTTCATTTCTGTGACCTTTCCATAATCGCATCATTTTGACATTCTTGGAACATAGACATTGTACAATGGATATTGGGTAATGAACATGATGCAATGTGGCATACCATGAATATTAAAATACCTTAGAACCGAGTGTGCCATCATCCGTGACTCACGACTGTAACTCAATTCAACCAATTTTACACCCCTTTCAAAATTTTCCTAATTTTAAGCCCCCCGTAAATCGCCGTTACTTGGCGGACAAATAGCGTGTTTTTGCTTGGGAGGTGTTACACCATCTGCCGTGATTGCGCGTAGGAGGTGCCGGGGCTGAGGTCCCATGAGCCCAGCCTAGTTTCATGTCGTGACGCGGTGAGCGCCGATTCATTGCGTGACTGCTGCTAAAATGCGATGGAGAGCAAGGCAGCTGCATTATTTTCACCACCGATTAATCCTCTTCGGTTTTTCTTGGACATGTTTAATAAGACCTTCGTTTTGCTTATCAAAGATGAACAAAGTCTGACATTCATTTTTTGAAGAGCAATATTCTGTTAATATCAAGAGAAATTATCTTTCTTATCTCTATTTCTTAGGCGATTAAATAAGTCTTCTTTTCACTTTTAATTAAAAAAAGAGAGTTTTTGTCACTTATCGGTGAAATCTTCTGTACACTTTTTTAAAACGAAAATGTGTGGGACTTGATGTATATGCAGGTATGCATCGAGCGATGGTTCTAGCGCTTGACATTCCTATCGATTCAGGTAATATTCCTGTTATATTTGCATTGTAAAAAAAGAAGAAGAAGAAAGTGAATTTACCTGTACAATTATACGTCGTGAAAGCATTTTTCCATTTGAATTGGCATCGATCAATGAATGAATTCAATAAATACATTTATTAAAGACTCACCACCAATTCCTACAGAAAAATACCTTCATTTTACAAGGTTGTTTTGAATGTACCTTACAAGGTTGCTTTGAATGTACCCCGTTCAATTATAAGTAGTATTATCAACATTTATTTAAAGCGTATACAGATAATACATTACAATGAATTTTAAAAGCACCTTCCTTCCACATTTGCTGTTTATATCAAATTTATGAACTGAAAAACTAAATCGTTGATAAGCGCAATGATCTGCCAACTAACGTCTTCCTCAGGTCTCAAGAACTTAATTCTCATTAACCCATACTAGTATTATAACGACCGGTACCTTCAGCGCAGTCACACACCTGTACGGGAAGGTGTAGACCATCCCATCAACCCTCTGGGTGTCACAAACCGGCGCTGATCATGCATAGCCCCAATGGACCCCTCCTCTCTCAGTGTTCGAGCCCCCCCCCCCCCCCCATGTCTCCCGTCTCAAATCTCGGCACAGGTGCGCGGACTGTAATAATATAATTGAGTTTTTCTCCCATAACATGATAAGGAAACGAGTCAATTAGATTATAGGTCTCCGAAGCGCTTTGTTACCTTGGACGGGTGTGCAATGCAAATCCACGTACCTTGCTGCTATGTGTTATACAGTGGATGGGGCCTCCTGCATGTGCCAAAGATGCGCAAAGGTTACAGATCTTCTATAATTAGATACCAGTACTAAAATGTGATTTGAGATTTGAGAGTGGAAAGCAAGAAGAGCTGTGGTACTCACTTGTCTGTTTTTAGATAACAACAGCTTCTATGAAAATGAATTGTGCAAAACTGACTGACTGAATGTTACTCACCTTCGACGTTATGCATATTGTGGAGGACTATGTTTTAGAGATACTGTTTTGCAATTCAAAATTAGAGAATCAAATAATTTGCTTCATCAGCCGACCACATCCGTCAAAATTAGTTGTACAATTTCTAGTGCTAAAGAACAGAACAATAAAATTGAAAAGAAAAGCCAACTACACATGAGAGTCATTTCAGTATAAGATACAGATATTTGTATTACACGGTCTTGTTTATTCGTATAAGTCAGTTAGAAAAAAAATCAAGAATGTGGGTCGTTACGTTGGGAAGTAGACCTAATTGCAAGTATATTTGATTTGGAATTGCCTTTGCTGTTATTTCATTGAATTTATATAAATGAACGCGTTATCCAAGCCATTCTTCCTCTTTTGTTGTGTGTGTGGTTTTTTTTTTTTACGTAGGTCTATCTCATCACATCTTTATTTCGTTTCCAAACGTTCAACCCAACCATTTTCGGTTGGCATTTGACGTTCAATATTAGAATAGGAGAAACGCTGAAAACCCGCAATACACATCACAAATAAAAGAAGTATAGACAACCTTGTATTTGCACTTTGCCGATTTGGGTGTATGTTTAGTATAGTTCAGCATATTGTTTCTGTGAGAGCAGACTTGGTTATTTCACGGCCCAGTGGCCAAGCTGCGGTGTTCTTCTCTTGTATCGCTTCAGCTCTCACGACTCAGTCAGGGTTGTATCTGTCTTGCCTCCCTACATCATACCTCATCTTTCCCAGTCTCCGAACAATCTGTTAACTCATCGCCTATCGCCCCTAACGTCAAACCCCAAGGTAATTAATGTCCGAGCCTGTATGAAATCCGACCGCCGAGTATGAATACTGCTCTGAAAAATAATACCTTAATTGGATGTGATCCCATTAAAATCTCATCTTGGTTGGCTTGGTGCATACAGCGCGATGACCGGCTGGAACGAGATTCGTCGCGTTACGGGTCAGAGTTTATTGGTTCTAGGCGGCCGCGAAGTGACTCGCCATGTGTCCTAGCATCTGCTGTGTAAGACTGGAACAGTTGCGGTTTTAACTGGACTCACTGGTTTTTTTTTTTATCTATTCAACTTTTCCCATATGATGATTAAGAAAAACTTTCTAACACCAAATTGACACTTCGAAGAGGCTTATCAAGAATTGAAATTGATTCAATAATCGTTCTTTATTTCGTCTTTGAAAGTCATTCTTGCCTATTCAGTCTGTAATCATATTTTTGTTTTTCAATTGCCAGGTTTGGTTTCAGAATCGAAGAGCAAAATGGCGGAAAGCCGAACGAATGAAGAGCGAACAGAAAGCTGGAGGCCACATTAGCGACTCCAACTCCAATGAGGAATCGGCCAAGATGGAGGCCGATAACTCGCCAGAGTCTACCACAGGTGGGGAGGCAGATGATTACGTAAATGCAGAGAGGACTTCGACAAGTCCACGTGTGGTTGTGTCGCCAGCTGTTGTCACGCCCAGATCTAACATTGCGGCCACACCTATATCGCCTGGATCTCAAGGACACACCCCTGTTTTGTGGGCGGGACCTGCTCCACCAGGTTTGGAAAGGTATGATAATATTACAGGAGAACTAATTACAATCGAGTAAGTGATGATATTGATTGATGTTATTTCATTGAACTGTGTTTGATTGTATCTTTTTTTTTCATTCAGATACACCCCAGCTCTGTGCTCATTTCCCGCATCAATGACCACGCCTTACGCATCGCAGTTAATATCGTATGCCGCACGAAAAGGTGAATAAACTAACTGAGCATATAACGAAAACGTTTCACATAGAGTGATATTGGGAGGGAAGACGGTACGGCAGAGATATCGGTTCCGATGTACGGGGATAGACTGCGTGGTAATGCAGACATACAAAACCAAATAGTCTGGAAACAATCTGAGATAGATCCAGCAATCTGCATGTCTGGTTTGGTTCCCTGAGTCTGCAACCTGGCTGGCTGGCTAATACTCATATTAACTGTGTATTCTCAGTTAACTCGGACATAATCTTCCACCCCTAATGTGTCTGCAATATAATTCAACCTTACGACTCATAAGTTTCAATGATATCCTCGATGTGATAAAAAAATATCGTTTTCTGTGTTTTTCAGGATCGTACAATCCATTCATGTATGGAAGCTACAGCTTGGCAACCAATCTGAAGTCGCCGCCTTTGTCATCCTTCGCTGTGTTGGAAAATCAAGAAAAGCGGTCTCTTAGTTTGGCAGCTCTGCGCATGCGTGCCAAAGAATACAGTGAGGCTGTTGCTAGGGCAGCGGTAGGAGGTCCCCAAGCCTCGATCATGTGACCACAATACGGAATGTTATTTTAATCCAAGTTTATTAATAAATGTTTGACCTATTTTAACGAGTCATGTAGGTTGACTGTTTCAATAAATATCTAAAGATTAGTCCATACAGGGTTCTTTGCATCCTTGAGATGGATTAGGTGTTGTAATTTCTCGCTGCATATAATGTTTGTGTTATTGCATACATTTGAAAAAAAAAGGTAGTAACAGTGACTTGGTGTAATATAAAGACTATAGCCTACACCCAAACAATCAGTACTGAATGGGTTGAAGCCTTCAACTTGTCCAAATTTGGTACGTGACACTGATTCAAATAAATTGTCTTCACGAATGATACTCGACCCTTATAATGTCATGAAATCAAGAAACGAACTCATTTGTATGTGTAATATAAATGTGAAACACAAACAAATAAGAGGACAATGGTTTTAAATGCAACTCACAATGACACACAAAGTATTACTACGTTTGCGATGAGCAGATTCGGTATTTAATCTTGATCTGGTGTTTTACTCGCGTCTGTGACAATTTTTTCACGTAGCCACGTAGTAACTTGTCCTTATTATTGTTGTTTTCAGCATTTTTCACTTTACCATTACATGTAGTATTGTTTATGTATTGCATGGTTTGCAACGATATCACTATGAGGAGTGAAGCCATTGTTTTATAAGGAATTTCCACTTGAAAATATAGGTCGACTCTCCGTTCTATTTTTGAGTTTCACCATAAAAAGTTTGGAATGAGACACCGACCGAAAATATCCATACCCATTTAGTTATGGAGTTATGACTTAAAACAATTCAAAATATTTGCAGCGTGACAATAATTCAGGGATTAATTCCCAAAGGGCGTATATTTTTGTGAAAGTTAGGGGTGTAAAAATAAAAGCGTTTTGTTTTCGCAGACGAAAAGGAAGGACGGTAATTTTTTTTTCATGAAAATACAAAATTCAGCGTATATATTGAAAAGGACGGACAAATAATGTTAACAATAATGCACAGGTCATGAGGGTAGTTTCTCGCTAACACTATTTGCCTTAATTATTAAAAAAAAAAAAAAGAAGAAAAAAAAAAGAACCACTTTCGTTTTAATTTTTGTAAATACACGCATATTTGTTTGTTTTTAAAGTTATTTTGGTATTTTAAAATCGATATTAAATGAGGCACGTGAGGCACGTTATCAGGATATTATCAAAATTAAATCTAGCGTAGAACACATGGCCCTAGTTATAAAGGCACAATTTCCTCAAAGTTTCGCTTTGTTCCAAACGTTTCAGATCTGGCATCACATGGGAAGTACTTTCGACCTCCAAATCGACATTGTTCCGGGGAGAGAGATAGGCATAATTATTATCAGCTTGGGAACACGTTTTTCGGCTTTCAAAACTACTTTTTTTGTAGTTCCTCTTTTCACTTTAAATGCTGCATTCTAATTTAATTCCTACTTTATTTAATTGTGATTGAAAGGAAAGTAATGAGGGCGTTTTTTTTTAAATTGACCTTCAAACTGGTCAAGCAATGGTTCGGGCTCAGTCATTTAGGTTGCACGTGCTAGTTGTCAAAATGCGTGGACACGCACTAATCTGCCTCTGCCCGAGGGTCGATCTACGCGCTCCATACTTCAATCTAATCAATGTCTAGATGCCTGGAAGTCACGCCCCTTCAACTTGTTAGTCTTGCTACGTTAACAAGTTTTAATCTTGTCGGGAGGGGGGCATATGGGATGCCAGGGGTAGAGAAGACTTATGAACGGGGATGGGCACAGTGCAATCGCCTCTGTCATTGGGTGGTAAATAATTGTTCATTGAATTACAGAAAAGGTTCAAGGTTGAACTTTGGATATAGGAGGAGGATTAATTGAATTATTGAATGTGTACACCTGCTTGGATTACACCTCTTGTGCATTTTGCCATGGCTGTATAGCAGGAATGAATTTAATGTCTTTTTCACATTTTTTTTGCTAAAATCAACATGCAATGGAACCATCTTCTGTTTAAACAGAGAGGAGAGTTGCAGCCCCTCCAGTTGACACGGTAAATAATATACAGGAAAATAAATATTGAAAATTGTGCATGTACAATGTGTACGGCTGCATTGATATAATGATAATAATCAAACGATATTATTAGGCAGTCAGTCTGGGTGTGTGTGTGGGTGGTGGGGTTGCTATTACAGGATGAAGGGCCAAAGGAAACTTTGAAATAGTGTTTGAGGTTTTTACGTTGGTTAAAGGTAATAATACAACATTTGCTTTTGCTGTAATTTTCAGCAATGGACGGATTTGCGGGTTATTATTTTATAGGAAATATTGTTCCACATAAAGCCGTTTTTCTAAACGATGGTTCAGCCGAACCATCGTTGAAAAATGATACAAATTGCACTTTCCTCACTGAAAAATTGCCTGGGTTAATTAACCCAAGAAAGGGTGAAAACTGGAACTACCCAAAATTGGGTTGCTCTTTACCCAATTGTTTGGGTTGTAATATCTGTTAAATTCAACCAAAAATCGTGATCATACAAGACCAAATTTAATTCGGTCTTGTATGACTTCACCTTTTGGCTGAATTTAATGGAAATTCTAACCCAAACAATTGTGTAAAGAACAACCCAATTTTGGGTAGTTCCAGTTTTCACCCTTTCTTGGGTTGAATTAACCCAGGCAATTTTTCAGTGCTGAAAATGACAGTACACCAGGCGCAATTATTTCACAGGATGCTTGAGACTATTATACTTACAGTCAAGGGGTTTATAATAATGTTGTAGTTTCGTTTTTAATGTTTGCAAATGTTGTACATTACCTTTACGTTGACAACAGTCCGCGTAGCTTTTGACCCCAAATGGTCAGGCGCGGTTCCTCCCCCCTAGCTTTAACTGTTACATATATTATGTCCGCCTGTCCGCAACACTCGGACACAGAGACGTAGCCAGCGGGGGTAAGGAAGTGTGCATGATCATCGGATTTGAACAGCACCCCCATTGGAAGATGGTACCAGGCCCCCCTCCCCCCGCAAAATTCGTGGATCCGCCCCTAAATCTCCAATGCGCACCCGGCTTTATACGCTAGAAAACCGATTCTACCCGTGCATTGGAACGTTACACGTGTAAACGAACAAAACTCTAAATCCGTTTACAAATTTTCCAAACTTTTAAACAAAACTCGAAATAAAAAAAGACCTACGTTCACACTATCTTACTTTAAGTTAAACAAATAGCTAAAATAATTGGAGGTCTAACCACCGCTTCTGATTGGACAATTGACTTCATGCACCGGGACGTTTATGTATGGCATAGAAAAGTTTTGGGAACTTGTACGTACATTCACCCCAACTGTCTAATGTCATGACGCTGAGGGTTCCATAGCTATACATGGAAAAAGGTTATCGCCTAAGGATCCATCTATCCACATTCCCAATTCCCATTCCATGACCCATTCCATTGTACCAATGCAAGAAATCCTACACTTAGACTTGAGATAGAGGAAGGAATGTGCTTGGAGTGTACTGCATAATATATACAAACGACGCACTGGGTATCTGGTTTTTTTTGTACAGGGCCCGATGAAACGTTATGACGCCAGTGGTCTACGGGAAGGCCGCCGCTAGCGTTGGGTTGGTAAACGCATGTGAGGCTATTATGGAGAATCAACACGAAAATTATACAATAGAATTTTTCAAGTGTTAAATACGAGCGGGATTTTCATTGATGAAGAAAATGTTTCATTGTGGAAGAGACTAATAAAGGGAATAAAGGAATAAACGGTGGATAAAAGTAGATAATGACAATAGAAAGGGAGGAGACAGGGCAATGCAACCAAGACTCAAGCGGTGATTGCTTCAAGAGTCCACAACTTTCCTGAAGTTTTTCATACATGGAAATCAGATTTAAATGATTAGATTGTGGTTTTAAGTAGGCAGGTTTTAAGATACTATGCATCCATCAGCAATGGAAAACATGGAGGATGTATATAAAGAGAAAACACACCTTTGTTTGCACCACAAGAATTATCGCAAAAGTAGTCAACTTGTATTAAAATGACAAAGTAACAGTCATGCTGGGCTAAAGTAAAACTTAAACGATTAAATGAACCTAAAACCAAGCATCTGAAAAATAATTTTGATCAAATTTGCTCAATTCAAGTTGTGTTCACCTGTAAATTTCTGTCATTTGTTCTATTGTTGTAACTCATTACTGCTACTTCAGACAGTCAATAACAAAATAAGACAAGTAAATTTCTTTTTGAAAAAGAAGTCCACGTTTTATCATTAATTATGAATAGGCCTACGACCAATTTCAAAGTAGCACACCTTACTCATAACACGAATAGAATGCTTTTGTATGTATAATATGAATAATTGTTATTATTATTCATTATTTTAAAAACACTTTACATGTCACAAGGACGTCACAAACCCTGCACAATAAAAATAGGCCTTCACATTTTTGAAGAAAGAAAAATTAAAACAGTCATGAATAAAAACAATTAATTAGAAAGAAATTAACAATTAATAAATTAAAATATTGTTATACTCTTTGGTTTAAAAAAACAAAACTAAAAACCAAAACAAACAAAAACACGATGAAAAGTGAAATAGTTAGGGGAAAATGCAACGGTTCATACCACCCGCATCTCTGAATCCTGTTTACTAGTCAACTCATTCACAATATGATACTGTACACTGTCAATTTCAAATGTGGCACTAGGTGTTTCCGGCCCCCTGAAGCACCTGAGTGGTACTAAATGAGGGAATGAAGTGCTTTAAAAATGTTACATATCTCCATGATTTACAAAAGAAACAAACATTTACTGGCTTTGCGCAACTAAACAACAGATTAAGTGTACTGGAGAAAATCTGCCTTTTACCTACCGTACACGTGGTGGCGCCCTTCCTCATGAGCAGTTACTTCCTCCTGCATGTCCTGTTTCAATTTTTTTGTCAACGGAGTGTTCCCCGTTTCATCTATACTATCTATACTACAATCACGAAAATGATTCGGGGGCGCTGCCATTTTCCCGACCGGTCTCCCGTCCCCATCGCGCCTGTTGGCTGCGGGGGATGCGGAACGGGGCCCGGCTATTTTCACCCCATATTTCCCAGAGTTCCTTTCCCCATTAAGCCGGCCGCCATCTTGCGTACGGGCCGGTGTCACGTGAAAATTCGACTCCTATGAAAATCGGACCCCTATTTCCCTATTATTGGTTGATCCCTCGCACGTACGTGACAGGTCACTCTCCCAAAATGATCCTAAAAATAGCACAGTATCGTACTCACGCGTGCGCAGGACTACCAATGAGTCCACATTTCATGGAGTCGGATATTCATGCTACACCTGTCGTGCCACGTATACGTATACGTTCGTATAGAGGAGCATGCGCTGCAGCGCATGCAACGGTATTTATGGTGGCCCTGAAGGGACATCGCATATCGCAAACGTGTGCGCATACGTATGCGATGTCGCGAAATTTATCGCGAATGTGTGCGCACACGTATGCGATGTCGCAAAATTTATCGCGAATATGTGCGCACACGTATGCGATGTCGCGAAATTTATCGCGAATATATGCGCACACGTATGCGATGTCGTGAAATTAATCGCGAATATGTGCGCACACGTATGCGAATTTGTTTGCAATGTCGTGAATTTTATTGCATACCTTGTCGCATACCTTTCAGTAAAATTCCTAATGAACTGGGGAGTTGTAGCAGCTAGTCTGGAATCTAGACGTACTGTTAGATATAAATAGGGTCTGACTAATAAACCTCGGCGCACGCTGTTCCTCGTGCAATCGTTACTACAAGTACTGTCGAGCGCAAACTTGCTACTAGCGCAACTTTGAAATTTGCGCGCACAAGTTTCAAACTTGCGCGCGCAAATTTCAAAGTTGCGCAAGTAGCAAGTTTGCGCTCGACAGTACTAGTAGTAACGATTGCACGAGGAACAGCGTGCGCGCGAAGGTTTATTAGTCAGACCCTATTTATATCTAACAGTACGTCTAGATTCCAGACTAACTCCCCAGTTCATTAGGAATTTTACTGAAAGGTATGCGACAAGGTATGCAATAAAATTCACGACATTGCAAACAAATTCGCATACGTGTGCGCACATATTCGCGATTAATTTCACGACATCGCATACGTGTGCGCATATATTCGCGATAAATTTCGCGACATCGCATACGTGTGCGCACATATTCGCGATAAATTTTGCGACATCGCATACGTGTGCGCACACATTCGCGATAAATTTCGCGACATCGCATACGTATGCGCACACGTTTGCGATATGCGATGTCCCTTCAGGGCCACCATAGGTATTCCATGCAACATGCAAAGCTGAAGGCATGCTTGCCCCACATTTTCTCAGCACTACTAGCTTCGTTTGATGGTCGTTTGATGCATTGATTATGCTACAATTTTCTCTTTCAATGGTAAGTCCGGTTTGTGCTATGACACATTATAGATTATAGTTAGTAGTAATTCTTTCGAACACCTCTGGCAAAGGATTATAAGTATTCTTTCGAACACCACTGCTGGCAATGACAATTGTTGTTTGTGAAAAGTGTGACCCAATCGCGTGGGCCTCGGACATGGCGATCGTGTAGTATTTAGTAGAAGGGCCCGGTTCCTATAGGGAACAAAATCCACTTTAAAAAAGCCCGACCAAAATAGTTGGAGACATTCTCAATAAACAGGTATGTCATACTGATAGAGGGCCGGGTTTTGATTTTTTTTTTAGAGAAATTTGGGGGGGGGGGGGGGGAAACTACGATGACAGCACAGCGAAAACACGCAACCCGAAAATAAAGATGGCGATTTCTGCGCGATGTGCTGTGAGCACGAATGTCGGACACTTCGCCCCATTTCCACGTCGCCCCATGTCACTTCGCCCCTAACCACTTCGCCCCATCCCCACTTCGCCCCATCCCCACATCGCCCCATCCCCACTTCGCCCCATCCCCACTTCGCCCCATCCCCACTTCGCCCCATCCCCACTTCGCCCCAGCCGTTACATGTAAAAAAAAAAATCTCATCTATTTTTTTGGCTTAAAAAAAAACTATTTCAATAGATTCACTAATTGCTAACCAACGGAAAGAATTAGCCCATCACCAAATGAACAATTCATAACCAACCTCTCAAGCTAGGCTCTCCCCTACCGAGAAAAAAGCTTGAAGTAAAAGATCCAACTTTGTTCCCAACCCGGCTATACCAACCCGTCTCCCACTTATCTGAGAACGACAATACCTTTGACATCCTAATTTCACTCTTGGAGGAACCAATCTCATCAATGAAGTTGTAAGTCTCACATATCAGACAAATTTTGACGGAACATTTTCCTCAAGGCAGTGAGTTCCTTTGAACTCACTGACCCATACCTACGGGATTCTTTTGAATCCAGCGGCTGATGATTTTATTTAAGCCATCATTTCTCTCATCTGTGTCTCGAGCACCTCATCAGAGAGTTTGTATTTTTTCTGAGTTTCTAGAATTGGGAGCATTTATTATCTGGGGTCTTTGGCAGTTTATTTGGTCTGCACCCCTAGCCTTCCCTTTTTTATACTACATGGGGCGAAGTGGGGATGGGGCGAAGTGGGGATGGGGCGAAGCGGGGATGGGGCGAAGTGGGGATGGGGCGAAGCGGAGATGGGGCGATGTGGGGATGGGGCGAAGTGGGGATGGGGCGAAGTGGTTAGGGGCGAAGTGACATGGGGCGACGTGGAAATGGGGCGAAGCGTCCGACACCCGTGAGCACGCACGGCGCGCAGAATCGTAAGGCACAAACCGCGCAGGAACAATTTATTTGTAGCTATTGTTAGCCGATGTATTTTTTTACAAGTTTTCTTTGTTACTCCTTTACACAGGACTCCCGATGACACCCACATCACATGAACCAGCTCCAACCATGCTCCAAGCATGCTCCAGTGCATGCTTCAACCAGTTCCCAAAGCAAGAATCTCGACTCAAGACGAAGACGTGACGTGCTTTTTCTCTTTACCCATTCAAAACACATTTTTCTTCTAGCCATAATTTTATTATTTAGAAGTCATGAAAATGAAATAGTGCAAAAATAATCACTCTTTTCTGCTGTTTTATGTCCATCCTTTTGTAAAGTTATATCCTTGGCTTAGTTGTATCCAAGAATAATTATGGAATGATTACCCGTCTCGCTTGAAAGTCTTTCATGGAATGTTTTTGCCTATGCTAAACAAGCCTGGACCGACGTCCCTTACGAAAATCGCTCCGAAAATTTGCTACAATTATATCCCCTGAGTTTTGTCAAAGTACTACCCTGTATTGAATGCAAATACATTATTACTAAAAAATTTGTGTGTGCATTGTACCTGATTTCATTTTCACAGTTTTGTAATAAATACATTTAACATGTGGTGCTTGACATAATTATGAAGTGCTCCAATATGTCCTTTCTTATAGTTTTACTCTCTTCTGCAAATAAACGTGTTACAATACTTTGCTCTACAACCCCATCACCATAATAAAAACACGAACTGTTATAATGACATTAACTACTACTTAATACATACAAAACACCCCTTCACCATAACGAATATAAATTGTTGCCCACTTCCCCGGAAATATAAGTGACCATTCACAGGTGTAACATAAGTAGGCATGGGCGTCGCAAGGGGGGGGGGGGGGGGCAAGGGGGGCACTTGCCCCCCCCCCCCCCCCCCCCCCCCCGAAAGCAAAAAAAAAAAGAAAAAAGAAGGGGAAAAAATGAGTTCAATTTTAAATTTAATGAGTTGGGGGGCTAAATGTCCCTGCCCTTCTCTAAAACTGATAAATGGAGAATGTGTTGAGAAAAACAGGCATTTCTTTGGCAAAAATATGTTTTGCCCCCTCTAGAAAACAAATCCTGGCGACGCCCATGTAAATAGGCCACACAATATCCAACCCCCATCCCCACTGGCTTCCCCCTCCTCTCCTCTGTAGTGAGAACTATGAATACGACGTTGTAAAGGTCAAGATCAAACCGCGTTTCATCTAAACTACCTAATTGTACAGTTGGTGTATACGTCCTTTATGGTTTGGCACCTTGAAAAATCAATGTTCAATTTGACTGGACAATATTCCAGCACAACATTAGTTATGAGCTTTATATACATGTAATGAGACATTGCATGAGACAATCGGTCGGCAATAAATACTTAATTTCATTCAACTGTTGACAGCAAGACCTTCCTAATCGGTGCGCAATTTAAAACAACATTTAAACGGTATGAATCCCAGCACAAACATAAACCTCCACAATATCAGCGATTTCAATATCACCATCTCCCCTCTATAACAAAAACCATTTCTCCCCGTCCCTGGAAATATTTCTCCCCATCCCCGGAAATATTTGTGACATGGTTGACGGGTTGTACGGAAATTGGGCGTTCCGACTAGCACCTTTCACCCTAACTAGCCCCTCCCCTATATTGACAATATGTCCTGGACCCTCGCACAATCTCCACAGGAAATGTTATGTGCGCGCACGTTGCTAAACGCAAATACAACTTAGGTGAGACTGATGGCGAGCCCAAATAGGCTCACGTGCAGCAGAGCGTCTGATTCTTTATTTGACTTAACAGTTGTTTGGAGTTATTGGAGTTATTATCGAGATTTCACTGTATACAGTAATTATTACGAAACAGTCAACTCCACCCATCTAGCGGGTGCCGCGCGAAGCGCGGCATCCCGCTAGTCTATACTACAATCACGAAAATGATTGGAGGGCGCTGCCATTTTCCTGCCATTTTCCCGACCGGTCTCCCGTCCCGCACGCGCCCGTTGGCCGCGGGGGATGCGGAACGGGGCCCGGCTATTTCCACCCTATATTTCCCATAATTCCCTTCCCCATTGGGCCGCGCCGGCCATCTTGCGTATGGGCCGGATAATTGACGTGCCACGTCGTATACGTTCGTTATGAGCATGCAGCGTATGGGCCGGATAAGCAGCATGCAGCGTATGGGCCGGATAAGCATGCACCGCATGCAACTTGCTCCACATTTCTTCAGCACAGCGTTGTTGACATGGTTGCTCAAGTTTTCTCTTTGAACGGTAAGTCTCATTTATGATATGTATTGTTATTTGTGAAAAGTGGTATTCTTTCGAACGCCACTGGCAATGAGAAGCATTGTTGTTTGTGAAAAGTGTGAGTTTGTGAGTGTCCAATGATGGCGTAGTCTGGTGGTACGGGGAGGGTAGTACGGGGAGGGTAGTACGGGGAGGGTTGTACCATGAGGGGGGAGGCCTCGGACATCGAGAGTTTGGCCGCGGCCGTGGGTTTACTTAGCTAGGCTTAGTGTGGCCAATTTACTGCATGACCTTCGTAACTACAGTACAGGCCTCACTTGGAACATGTACCCGAACATGTTTGTAGAACTTTGTCAACTTTTGATTTCACAACTGGGCTTTGTTTGTAGTTTATTTTTGGATTTTGCTTTAGTTTGTTTTAGGCCTAGGCCTACTACTAGCTAGAAAAAAAACTGCTCCATTTGTATGTAGGCCATGAAATGTACATGTACATTCATTCCATACAAATGATGCAAACTAAATCTTTGTGGTAATCTTAGAACACGGCAAATCATACTAAAAACTTCCTTTAAAGAAATGACTTTCATACTCATAGGCAAAACAAAATTAATTTACTGCAAATTAAAGACCAATAACCAACTTAATAAAAACAAAAGTCAAATCAAAATTAAAGACGTGATCAAGTTCAAACCTCGGGCCAAAAACCAAAAAATACAGGCAAAGACTAAAACCTGAAACCAACACAGTTAGAATAGTGGATCTTAGAGAATACACTCTGGCAGAAAATCAAATGACTCGACAACGGACATGAACCCAAGCAGGATAAAGAGGAAACTAATACATTGATGACTGTTCAGTGTCTCTGCTGTTCTGCTGAGATAAAATCATAAGTGTGTGGGGGGGGGGGGGGGGTTCACAAAACTACAACATATAAGACATGTTTCGTTGTTTGGCATGTTTGGTTAGTACTTCAGTAGTGCATTCCGCATAAAGGGGTATTGCAACACCTCTCTAATTTATTTGTAGCTATTGTTAGCCGATGTATTTTTTTTCAAGTTTTCTTCACCTTAGTCGTTATTCTTTTCTTTCTAACTCCTTTACAAAGGACTCCCGATGACACCCACATCACATGACCAGCTCCAACCATGCTCCAAGCATGCTCCAGTGCTGCTTCAACCACTTCCCAAAGCAAGAATCTCAACCCAGTCTCAAGACCAAGACGTGACACACCTATTCTTTCCAGTTCAACTGCAAGATTCCTGCCTTTTCTCTTTACCCATTCAAAACACATTTTCCTTCTAGCCATAATTTTATTTTTAGAAGTCATGAAATAGTGCAAAAAAAATTCACTCTTTTCTGCTGTTTTATATCCATCCTTTTTAAAAATTATATCCTTGGCTTAGTTGTACCCAAGAATAATGATGGAATGATTACCCGATAATTACTGGCCAAGCAGACTGTGTCGATCCTGGCAAACTTATTTGATAACAAAACAATGTCTTTGATTACCAAATTACATAATCACTCTTTAAATTTCACAACAAAATATTCATACTCGCATACCCCTCCATTTCTCATGAGTTTTCACCAACACTCATTAAAAAAATGTTGTCCTGTAACTTACAATGCCACTGTCATTATTTATGATTACAGCTTTTAACACAAAAAACTGCAATTGCACAATAACCTTTGGCCGTCTTGCTTGAAAGTCTTTCATGGAATGTTTGTGCCTATGGTAAACAAGCCTGGACCGCCGTCCCTTGAGAAAATTGCTCCGAAAACTGACTACAATTATATCCCCTGAGTTTTGTCGAAGTACTACCCTGTACAGTAATGAATGCAAATACATTATTACTAAAAAAAATCGTGTATACCTGATTTCATTTTCACAGTTTTGTAATAAATACATTTAACATGTGGTGATTGACATAATTATGAAGTGCTCCAATATGTCCTTTCTTTTAGTTTTACTCTCTTTTGCAAATAAATGTGTTACAATACTTTGCTGTACAACCCCATCACCATAATAAAAACACCAACTGCTATAATGACATTAACTTCTACTTAATACATAATAAACACCCCCTTCACCATAACAAATATAAATTGTTGCCCACTTCCCCGGAAATATAAGTGACAATTCACAGGTGTAACATAAATAGGCATGGGCGTCGCGAGGGGGGGGGGGGGGGGGGGGGGGTCCTCCCCCCCCCCCCCCCCCCCCCCCCCCCCCCCCCCCCCCCCCCCCCCCCCACCGAAAAGCAAAAAAAAATAAAAAGAGGCGCCAAGTCATAGTGGTGTGAATTTAATGGGGTGGGGGGGGGCAAAATGTCCCTGCCCCCCCCCTCTAAAACTGATAAATCGAGAATGTGTTGAGAAAAACAGGCATTTTTGGGGCAAAAACATGTTTTGCCCCCCTCTAGAAAAAATCCTGGCGACGCCCACACAATATCCAACCCCCACCCCCACTGGCTGCCCCCTCCTCTCCTCTGTAGTGAGAACGATGGATACGACGTTGTATAGGCCAAGATCAAACCGCGTTTCATCTAAATTACCTAATTGTACAGTTGGTGTTTACGTCCTTAATGGTTTGGCACCTTGAAAAATCAATGTTCAAATTGACTGGACAATATTCTAGCACAACATTATTTATGAGCTTTATATAATGAGACATCGCATGAGACAATCGGTGGGCAATAAATACTTAATTTCATTCAACCGTTGACAGCAAGACCTTCCTAATCGGCGCGCAATTTAAAACAACATTTAAACGGTATGAATCCCAGCACAAACATAAACCTCCACAATATCAGCGATTTCAATATCACCATCTCCCCTCTATAACAAAAACCATTTCTCCCCATCCCTGGAAATATTTCTCCCCATCCCCGGAAATATTGGTGACATGGTTGACGGGTTTTCCAACTTGATGGGCGTTCCAACTAGCACCCTTCACCCTAGCTAGCCCCTTCCCCTATATTGAAAATATGTCCTGGACCCTCGCACAATCTCCGCAGGAAACGTTATGTGCGCGCACGTTGCTAAACGCAAATACAACTTAGGCGAGACTGAATGCAAGTCCAAATAGGCTCGCGTGCAGCAGAGAGTCTGATTCTTTATTTGACTTAACAGTTGTTTAGTGTTATTAGAGTTTAAATTATCGAGATTTCATTGTATACAGTAATTATTACGAAACAGTCAACTCCACCCATCTAGCGGGTGCCGCGCGAAGCGCGGCATCCCGCTAGTATATTTATATTTGTACATAAAATTCCACGTAAAAACATGAGCTAACTGTTATATAGCGCCCTCAATTGAATAAGTACCAAAAATGGCCGACATTTCAGCTAGGCGGGAGTCCAGAAGGCAAAAACTGTTGCAGAGTTCGGAAGAACGGTTCCAGAAGATAAAGCAATTAAATGAAAAACAACAAGGTAGGGAGTAACTCTTTCAAAATGAATCTGTTTATTTTTCTTTGTTTTTGTTTGTTAAAGCGCATTGATCATTAATTTGGAACTGCGCTGTATAAACTATAAATAGTGGATATTTTGCCGGAGGTAACGCCGGCAAACTAACGTTTACTAAAGGTTTGCCGGCGGTAATCCATATCAACAGAGGGCGCTGTACTCTTTAAGATAGGGCTGAATTATAACGTATTAAATTCCCACCAATATTGTGTAGCACAATCGGTGCAGTGGTTAAGCAATAGCTCTAGTAAGTGGGATGTACCTACTCCTAGAACTATGAGGCTCCGCGTGAGCGGAGCCTCATAGATCAAGAAGCCCGCAAAATTGCCTGCAGCACAAAACACTAATAAAGTACAAAAACGTCCATCAAAATGCAGCAGCCATTTCACACAGAACCGCTGCACAGTTTGCCCCTATACTCCGTACTTTATCTCTTGACATACTCACGTATCTTGTGCGGAACTAACATGGGTGGATTCTGTTGGTTTTTAGGCCAAAATGATGAAAAATATGCCCTTTCCGCACTGAGCCAACCTGACACTTGAAACGTGCACGCATATGATCGAGCGATGATTTTCGGTTCGCTCGGAGCGCGCCGCGGGGGGTACGGTACAAGCGAAATGATGTGCATGCGTACAAGTGCATGTACCGTACCCCCCGCGGCGCGCTCCGAGCGAACCGAAAATCATCGCTCGATCATAATGCGTGCACGTTTCAAGTGTCAGGTTGGCTCAATGCAGAAAGGGCATATTTTTCATCATTTTGGCCTAAAAACCGACAGAATCCACCTATGTTAGTTCCGCACAAGATACGTGAGTATGTCAAGAGATAAAGTACGGAGTATAGGGGCAAACTGTGCAGCGGTTCTGTGTAAAATGGCTGCATTTTGATGGACGTTTTTGTACTTTATTAGTGTTTTGTGCTGCAGGCAATTTTGCGGGCTTCTTGATCTATGAGGCTCCGCTCACGCGGAGCCTCATAGTTCTAGGAGTAGGATGTACCGGGTTCGATTCCTGATCCCCGCCATAATTTTAAGGTTTTTTTTCCCATCCCCAAATAAATAAGAATATTCTTCTTTTATTATTTTAATATGTCTCAAACATTTTATTGCAGAGTAGGCCTATTACTTTTTCTTTTTCAGATTTGTGGCTCTGGAGGATTTTTTTTTAAGGGAAATAAAGTCCGAAATTATAAAATGGTCCGATTCCCATCTTGTAAATACAAAGTTACAACGATAATATTGGCATGTAGCCAGACTAAAATTTGTCACCGGAAAATGTGTAAGTACAAAAAAACAGTAACTGCGCATGTTCAGTGCATATCCGGCAAACTAACGTTTACTGAAGGTTTGCCGTCTCCGGCAAAATATCCACTGCCTAACTATAAGCACCGGTAATGGTAGTCCGAGTAGGCCTATTAACTAGGACTCTATGACTACGGATTGCTTTTTTAACATTTGGACATGGTCGGGCGATAGCGGTCATACTAAAAACGTCAACACAGCGTCAACACACTCCAAAGTGTCAACACAGCGTCAACACAGCGTCAACACATCCAAAATGCATTAAAATTGACACAAGCAGTATGTAACCCATACAGTATGGACAGAAACAAGATTTTAACTTAAGGCCAAAAAAAAAAATAAGTTGGTCTCTGGTCAGCGCGCGCGTCGATTTTAATCATGCGCGTCAATCTTTTTTTTTTCCAAAATGTTCCGCGGTAGCTCCAACAGCGCCCTCTGTTGCCGCACCTCCTCATTTTTTTTTACCAAAGAGCACGGAAGTGGAAATTGCACCAAGGCAAATGATCGAGAGCACCAAGACAAATTATGGAGGACACCAATGTACATGTACATGAGGACACCAAGTAGCAAAATAGTACCCCACCTTGTCTGTACAATCCAAGCTTGAAGAAAAAAAAAAAAAGCCAAAAAAACCCCCAAAAAGCCGCGTCCCCGTGTCAATTCCGGAACTTTGGTCTGACCAGAGACCGAATATTTATTTTTTTTGGCCTAAAATCAATAGGTTAAACGTCTGAAAATTGCGATTTTCAGTTCAAGAAAATTGGCTCTCCGTGCCGCTCCGATCGGCTGCCATGTTGCCTCAGTTGCAGCGCGGACCATACCATTATGCTTAAGGGTGATAGCGTTGTACAATAATGTCATTACCTACACACCCCTATTGAAATGGTGTAGTCCAAGCTTTGTGCGAAGTCAAAATGGCGGACAACGGCCGTGCATTAAGTTAAAGGTCATTTTTTTCGCGTGAAAATACTATATTTTTAACAACAAAATGGAAACTCAATCCAATGGAAATTCTCTTTTATTCAATGCTTTACAATTATATACCTTTTTTTGATTCAGAATGTGTTTTGGATGTGTTGACGGTGTGTTGACGCTTCTGTCATGTGTTGACGCTGTGTTGACGCTGTGTTGACGCTTTTTAGTGCGACCCGGCGATAGTAGAGTCCGAGATCGATGGCCCTATTGCGGTTAGTACTAATTTTTTTGGACCATTTTCACTCGTACCCCCAATCAAAATCTTCAGATTTTACCCCCAACATGCCCAAAACGGTCTTCAAACTACATTATGCGCCCCTGTAGGCTTCAGTGGGAATTGGAAATACAAATGGTGGTGGTTAGGTTCACATACCTTAGACTTAGAGAAGAAAAGAGAAATTTCACCTTCAATTCGGAAACTGAGCCTCGCCGGGCTGTCGTGCCCGTCTTGAATGTTGTTGTTGTGTACGATTGATTCAAATTGTGAGGTCAAACTGATGACGTACGACACGCCGGCCAAGCGCACGCCTGCATTCACAGTCGGGCATATCGTGTGTGCACGCGTACACCGGCAACTGTTTCCTGAACAGCGCAGCCTGCACATATTCCATAGCCGTGTATGCGATATGTGCAGGCTGTGCTGTTCAGGAAATTGTGTGTACGCGTGCACACACAATATGCCTGACTGTGAATACGGGCGTGCGCTTGGCTAGCCTTTAGTCAAGTCCCACGCGCTTACCCGGACACGTGACGCACCCCGGATGTTGACACGTAAAAAGACTAGGACGAGCGGCGAAGCCGCGAGGGCCTTTACCATCTCGTGGAGAACGTTTATGTTTTTCTTTACATTTGTCTACCGATTTGGTAGACATGCATAATGCATTACCCGTTGTGAATTGACCAATGAAAACGCAGAATTACTAACGTAAATCATGCAGCCGTCGTCTGGCGCCAGACAGCCATGGCGTGCATGCTGTTGCTGGTAACCGCAAACCACCGTTAGATGATTGGTTTATATTGCTTGATTTATATTACGTGAATAAATGAATAAGTGATTAGTTCCACGAGATAGTTAAAGGCCCTCGCGGCTTTGCCGCTCGTGCTAGTCTTTTTACGTGCCAGCATCAAGGGTGCGTTACGTGTCCGGATGGTCCGGGTATAGGCGCGTGGGACTTGACTAAAGGCTAGCGCTTGGCCGGCGCATTGCACGTCATCAGTTTGACCTCACAATTTGAATGAATCGTACACAACAACAACATTCAAGATGGAGGTTACCGGCACGACAGCTCGGCGAGGCTTGGTTTCCGAATTGAAGGTGAAATTTCTCTTTTCTTCTCCAACCACCACCATTTGTATTTCCAATTCCCACTGAAGCCTACAGGGGCGCATAAGGTAGTTTGAAGACTGTTTTGGGGGTAAAATCTGAAGATTTTGATTGGGGGTGCGAGTGAAAATAGTCCAAAAAAATTAGTACTAACCGCAATAGGGCCATCAATCTCCGACTCTACTATCGCCCGACCATGTCCAAATGTTAAAAAAGCAATCCGTATAGTCCTAGTTACTCGGACTACGGTAATGCGGTATTTAGGCCCGCCGAACGGCCCCCACGCACTACTCCTAGAACTACATGTATGATGCTCCGCGTGAAAAATATGCCCTTTCCGCACTGAGCCAACCTGACACTTGAAACGTGCACGTATTATGATCCATCGATGATTTTCTATTCGCTCGGAACGCGCCGCGGGGGGTACGGTACTTGCACTTGTACGCATGCGCATACTATTTTCGCTTGTACCGTACCCCCCGCGGCGCACTCAGAGCGAACCGAAAATCATCGATTGATCATAATGCATGCACGTTTCAAGTGTCAGGTTGGCTCAGTGCGGAAAGGGCATATTTTTCATCATTTTGGCCAAAAAAACGATAGAATCCAGCGATGTTTGTTCTGCGCACATAACGTGAGTATGTCATGAGGTATAGTACGGAGTTTAGGGGCAAACTGTGCAGTGGTTCTGTGGGAAATGTCTGTGTTTTGATGGACGTTTTTGTACTTAATTAATGTTTTGTGCTGCAAACAATTTTGCGGGGTTCTGTGTCTATGAGGCATAGTTCTAGGAGTACCCACGCACGGCCTAGACAACGCTGATTCTCTGGGTCGTGGGCTGTTTTCAAAGTACTGTAATTTCCGTTGTAAGTTTTAGGTGTCATAAATCATTGAATGGCTGAAACTTGTGTACAATAAACATTTTCATACCTTTGTCTTGTGTGCAAATTATATTTCGTAAAAACTTCACATAACTTTGTGACAGCGAGTTGAATATGGGACCGCAGCGCACGGCGCGATGCCAACCTGGAACTTGTCCTCATCATGCTATAAAATGCCATTTTTACCCGGATAACCCCATCGTAGATTGATTAATCAGGTACCAACTTAAAGAGGAAGACCTCATCTTTTCAGTGATGTATGCGCGTTAGTCATTTTTTGAAGGGGGGGGGGGAGATTTTATAACCTACCAAAAATGCCTTTCCCCAAAACAAGCAGAAATGTCACATAATTCCAGAACGCGCATACGGATTATGCAAAAATCCTGTACCGAGGACTCTACTATCGCCCGACCATGTCCAAATGTTAGAAAAGGCGATTTGTAGAGTCCTACATGTAGTTACTCGGACTACGATTAATGTTAGTTTTGATCGGTCATAGTCAACACAGCGTCAACACACGTAGAAGCGTCAACACAGCGTCAACACCTCCAAAACACATTCAAATTGACAATACCAGTGTTTAAACCATACAGTATGGGCAAAAATGAAATTTTGGCTTAAAATCAATGGGTTAAATGTCTGAAAATTGCAATTTTCAGTTCAAGAAAATTCGCTCTCTGTACACATTAAATGACAAGAATACAGCAGTTTAAATGCAGATATCATGTTCATAATCGTGGTGAATGTCAAGCTCTCTGGGCTGCTGTCCATGTGGATCGTTTTATAGCACCGCGCCGTGCTGTAGGGGCATGGAGGCTAGGAATTGGAAGGGCAACGACAGTCTTTCATAATAATTTTGATCGTTTTTTCATTTTTAGTGTAATCTAAAATGAGTTTCTAATTAACTTATCAATCATTAAAACAAATACTACTCGCAATTAATGGATTGCAAGCTGATTTCATACACTTAAGTGCACAGTTTAGTTTTTGCTTTCAAATTGGGCTCTTGGTCAGTTGGTTGTGTACAAAATGCTTTTGTTTATTAATAAGCTAGAAGTAATTAATTTGCATATATTCACACATACTTAATCAGTGTAATGCCAAGAGTACATTGCTGCATATGTTCACATAAAAATACTGCCCAAATTTGGTGGTTTAAAACAATTGTTTAGCTTCAAGTTATGACAGTTTTGAATCTTAATTAGGGCATTAATGTTCAATTTGCATACATTTACATGCATAATTAGTAACAATATAAGCCAGTTTTAAATAAATATCTGTGGTTGAATTGTTTATCACTAGAGGAAGACACCAGCCAAATTTCAGGCCTGGATCTCATGCACATTTCAAGTTATGGCAATTTTGCATATAAATTAGGTCAAATTTGCATAATTAGGACTCACATTTTCCCCCAAATTCTGATTTTGTGGTCCTGTATCTCACAAAATGTGTAACCAGTGACTGTGAAACTTATGACAAAAACCCAGTAGAATCTTTCAGTTCTGCATAAAATAAAATAAAGAATGCATTAATTTCTAAAGTTATTGCCCAGTAAAAATGGCGTAATTTCAGAAAAATGACTATCTACTGAGTTTTTATATACATTTTTGTACAATTTTCGGTTGGTATTTTCCTCTAAAAATTGCATGTTCACCCGTCATAGATTGTACAAAGGTACTTTAAAACCTAAAAAATTGCTGTAATTTTGAATATACAGGGTGGATAAAAAAACACCGAAACCTAGATATCAATGCTTATTGGAACAGTAGCAGGGCACATGTCAATCAAAAGGAAATATTCTCTTATGGATCATGTCTTTACATTCACGATTGACTGAGCAGTGACCAATTTTATGAAAGGGTCTATTTAGAGAATTGCGACACTTTTCATGGTGAAATCTGTTTTTTTTTCCAGTCAACAGTCGTCAACCTACTGTCAACAAATTTTGTATAAGTTATGGAACATAAAAAAACCCGCTTTATGTGGTAGAAATAGCGACAAAGAACACCTTCAGCATATAAATTAAATTTAAAATTATTTCAAAAGTTGGTTTTTTTTGTAAGAGTTTGTCGAGTTAGTGTTGGCCGCCATCTTGTTTGGATTGGCACTGTACACTTCACGCATGCATAGTATGGCTAGCGTAAACAAGATGGCAGCCAACACTAACTCGACAAACTTGTATGTTTCGTGTTGAAAAAAATACCCAACTTTTGAAATAATATTAACTATCCCAGAACCAGACTTTAAACAAATTTCCCAATTCTTGGTTTCTTTCTTTCAGCTTTGGGCGATTTTTTAAGCCCTTGAGAATAAAACGAAGGTTCACTTCTTGTTAACTGTTACATGGATCTACATGTATGCTAGAAAAGTCTAGCAGAATCTGTCTGTTGGATGTCATGCAGCATATCTTAAGTCTTTGGATCTTCATAATACACTGGTGCCTTGAGCTCCTTCTTCCATTCTGTTATTTATTAGATAGTGTCCATGTGTTATCAGTGACTCGAATTGACTCGAGCATAAATTAGACTCGACCCTACACGACTCGACAGCACACTGTGAGTTGACCTTCTTGACCTAATGACTCGACTCGACTCGAGTCACTTCCTTAAAATGACTTGACTTGAATCGAGTCTCACAATTCAGTGGCTCGTTACAACTCTCCGTTACAACCACTCAGTAGCCACATAGCCGCTCTGGGGGAAAGACATTAGACTTATAGGCCGAGGCTTACATGTGTGTGAAATAATGACTTCAGACCTAGTTGGTTGGATCCAGTCACATTTAATGAATTTGATCTTCAATATACATGTAATGCACTCATTTTACGAATAAATGGTACCAGGTGCACATTTGTACCTAACTGCATGTACTGTATACATGTATGTTAAAAAAGTTGTTTAAATGTAGCATCAGCACAATGGTTTGCTTTAAGTTTCCATACATTACTAAGAGAAAAATACATTTTTCTTCAAACAAAGCCCCACAGATTCAGGTATAATCTTTGTCTTATTGTCCCATAAGTTTTATATTCAATTTATGGATTTTTGGATAATTTCAGGGAGCATTGTTGAAGCCAAAGAAGATGCAGAAATGTCTGCAGCCACGACACCTCTCGTCTCAATTGACCAAGCACAGTCTGAGAATGCACATGAAGGAGAAAACGCTATCTCTACACTGCCACTGGAGGACTCACAAGCAGAACGTTCATGTCAGATAGACTGTGAGAGAACTAAGGAGTCAGTTGACCAGAGTATTGATGCACAAGGGGTTCATTCGTCCTCTCTGGAACACATTGGAAGATCTAACATGGTGCATGAGGAAGCTGAAGCAAATCCACATGGTGATGTGGAGTGTTTGCAATCATCAGACACTGCTGCTCAACAGGTTGTAGAGAGCAATCCTACACACCCACAGAGGAGTGATCAGGTTGCAGCAACTCCTGCCAGTCCCAATAATTCCAGTGCCATTAGTTGCAGTTTCCCTGTACATTCCTCACATCCTACTCACAGAAACCAGATTCAGAATAGCAGTATTCAGAACACTTCTCCACCCATTCCTTCATCTGAACACAAGCCAGTGTCTACAGCAGATACAGGTACATCATTAACAGAACAACCACAACCACAATTAGCTGCACAAGATGTACAGGATTTGTCCTCCACGCCTCAAACTGGACAAGTTTGGATGCTGAGGGAGTTAGTTGTAGTTCTCGTGGCGATTCTGATGCGTGGATTGCTTGTTGTTCATTGGTTTAAAAGTGTTGGTGGTCAGGTGAGATTTTAGTAATTTTGTTTTCTCAAATATTTGAAAATGTGTTGTTACATAATTGATCTCTGGGGCCATCCATAAAGTACATCAACGAAGGGGGGGGGGGGGGGGGTGGGAGGGGAGGGTTGAGGGTGGGAGAGGGGGTTGTTAGCATTGTGTACACCATGCATGGGGGGGGGGGGGGTTTCCCAAGTCAATGCGTACATACGTAGAGCGATATTTTGCTATAAATAAATTGTCATGAAATCAATGTACTTCATGTACTTCCCCGTATTTAATACCTACCAGGACCAGCTTTTATACATTGAAAACGGTAATAACACAGTTCCCTTCACCTCCACCATTTAGATTTATCTTCCGATTGCCACCGCCCGACAATGTCTATGGAGGTCATTAAAATTTAGAGACCGTGATATTACTAAACAAAAAACAAGACTGCTTCAATTAGCCAGCAAGCCTAGCGCATTCGTAATGGTTTGTAATGTACATATATAGGGAAACGACATGAAATGTGTATGAGTACGGGGGAGGGGGGTTTGGAATCACTGCGTATGGGGGAGGGGGGTCTAAAAAGTCAGCATTTATGGATGGCCCCTCTCCCCATAGAACTTTGTTTCTCACTTCATGTGTATCATCAAAAAACCAGGCAATGTTGACTCGTATTGATCTGATGACAGTTTCTTTCTGTTTTCGTTTTTCAATCTTTGTAGTCAGTAATCATTCCATTCATTGCGTTAGAAGTCTTGTTCTTCTCTATCCGCCCCCAGACTCTGGTGAGTTGCGATTGTTATTATTTGTAAATGATACACTGATTTGTATTGATATGTATGTCTGTGCTTGATGTGTAATATCATATTGATACGATGTGTCAAATGATAGTTTTGTCAAAACGCTGAACACTAGTGGACAGTAAACAATTACAAAGGGGGAGAGGATACAAATCCTCCCCCGAAAAATTGATGTGTTACCCTCATAAGAGGGTAGTGGTGGTGATTTTGTTTTCCGTTTTTTTGGGGGGGGGCAGTTTGCAACACCCTTTCATCTTGTGACAAGTTATGAACAATAAAAAACATGACCAGCTGTGTCTAATAAAGTCATAAATGCTAGTTTCTTTGAAGCTGCCAGGAGTTTAATATTTGCTTTTTAATTTCACCAATTTGTTAGGAATAAGTGATGAACATCAGAAAACTAAAGCAGTTTTCTCAATTCACCAAGTTTGTGCTAAGACAAGCTCCAGCACTTGCTTTATACCTCTGAAACAGGGCAGTGCAGTAAATTCACTGTAGAATTCTCTGCCTGCTTCATGCTCTCCATTTTTTTCTTTAAAATAACGACCATTACTGCATTCATATGTATCTGTTTTACATATGCATACAATCTATCTTGTTTCACCTCCTTTCCATTTTCCTTTTTAGCCCCTCTTATCTCTGATTGCTTTCTTGTAAGGACATTGCATACATGTACATCTTACGAGACTTGTTCTTACTGTGTTTGTGCCTTAGAATCCCCCTCACCTTGTTTGCAACCAGCTAGTATGGAATGTGTGTTCAATCACAGTATCATAGGAAATATATGGTTGATATTGCAGACTGAGTTCATGGTTATTTTAGGAAAAAGTACAGTGTCCAAATGATCTATGCTCTATACTGTAGTTGTGTTTCTCTGTTCCTTTGCAGCAACCATCAAGTGGAGTTATGGTGAAAGTTCTTAGCTTTGCAGCAATGATGTGCAGCATACCTCAAGCAGTCATCAAGAAGTTTCAACTCACTCTGTCTATAATCAACACATTTTGTGAAGATCTAGCCTTGTATTTGTTTGTTTTCATCCTAACACATGCGATGGTGGAAATACTTTCATGAGCTCTTTTAATTGACATTAGCTTTTGGAAGGATTGTTTACAATTTTTTTTTCTACACTATTTCAAGGATCCTGAATTATCATTTTCAAATTTAGTCAAGAATGCCTCGAGTAAAAAGAATGAAGGAAATTTAAAGAATTGTAAGGCAAATTTTCTATCATACAGCAAAAAGATTTTAGGTAGAGAAATATTTCATCTATTTAAACACTCAAACTGAGTTAAGTTCATATAGAACCCATTTTAAAGGGCCATGAAATGAATTTCATAGATGTGTATGAAAGCATAAAGTACAAATCTCATGCCTCTGAACTTTATGAGAATACAGAGTGTGCAAAAAAATTGCAACATTCAGAAAAAAAATAATTAAAACTGTCAAATGTTTTTTCCTTCAATGATATTTTATATTACATTAAAGCATGACTATTTTTTAATCCACTCCTTTTTACCACATTCCATTTGGGTCCCAGAGGAGGGTTGGCCCCCCCCCCCCTTTTTTGTAAAAGATTTTTCTTCAGTAACTATTTCCATAAATGGTTAGAGAGTTTTGTCATGAACCTAAAAAATAAAACCAATCTCCCAAACCATAACAATGCATATATATCTGCGTATATATTTCCTAGTATACATAATAATGGTCAGTTTTGAAGATCGCCCCCATTTGGAAGATGGGTACCAGCCCAGCCCCCCCCCCCCCTACTTTTTAATTTTACGGAGGCCAACTGTCCAGCGAAAACCACATGTCTATATTTCGGCGCAGATGTGCGAGTGCGGTTGCCCCCCTGACATCAAAAGCTGGCTACGTCACTGCCCGTCTATGTTCGGGGTTTCCGTGTCCGAGTTGCATCATTTCGTAGTAAAATTCCTCCTATTGAAGTTAAAATCAAATAAGTCCACACAGACTCAACTTAAGGGGAAATAAATCCTGGCTTTTGTACAGGACTGAACCTGACAGTTGCGGATCACTTTCGACAGTTGCGGATCACTTTCGACAGTTGCGGATCACTTTCGACAGTTCCGGATCACTTTCGACAGTTCCGGATCACTTTCGACAGTTCTGGATCCCGCACGCTGTGCTACCTGGTACATGTACAAATTCATCACTCACAGCATGCTCAGCGCGCGCGTCGTTTGTCACGCCTTCTTCATCTATACTGCACACAAAACTGCATCGTGTGCATGGGTGATCCACAACTGTCGCATGCGGGGATAAAAATCTTTCGGTGAATACGGCAATTCATTTAATTCAAATGCCAAAATCATTATTACTCAGTGATACTTGAGTTTTTCCCTTACAAGAAAACCAAATATTGTGAAGAAAAAAACAATAAATGTTGACTACGTTCCACAGGAAACCAGATTTTTGCCTTTACGCACTTCCTTCACAGGCCAGTTACAAAACAAGCAGATGTTTCGCCGAACTGGATCGTGGGTAATGTTTAAGCGATTTCCAAACTTTCTTTTACCGACAATTGCAGAATTATTGACCTTCAAATTGGTGAAAAAAATTCTCGAAAAAAAGTTTGGCTACACTTGAATTAATTATTTAATCAAGTGATCTGGAAGTGTCGATGATGCGGAACTGTCGCACTGACTGCACAATCAATTAAGTGAAAAGGTGTACATTTTGCTTGGGCTACTCTCACCTGTGATGTCACCAATTTCAATGCCTATTCAATGCTTAACCCAGATTCAGCATGTCCAGGTGAGCGAGGCCCCAGTAAAATTTACACCCTTTCACTTAATTGACCTATCGCCGTTTGCGAGTTAGCCACGCCCCTTAGACAACCCTATGGAACTTTTGTACATTGAGTTTTGTTTGTCTCAGATTTTGTGCGTTCCGTGTCCATTTGAACGGTATATCATGTAATTGGACAATACTTCACAAGCTGCGTTGACGCGATTCTACTGTGATAGGTCGATTGATTGTGCATGTATTTCTGGATCTAGGGACCTAAATGGAATGAGGTAAAAAGGAGTGGATTGAGAAATAGTCGGGCTTTAATGTAATATATCATTTCATTGAAGAAAAAAACATTAACATTTTTAATTTTTTGTTTTCTGAATGTTGCACTTTTTTTGGCACACTCTGTAGACAACATCTGACACCTTGGGCTCTGGTTTTGATGTCATGTTAGGCACTCATTCAACAGACCAGGAGTTTTCTGACAAATAGCAGCATTTCACACAAAAAGCCCATTAAATTGAGCAAAACTGTATTTCTTTTGCACCAAGGCACTGCAGTTTTTACATTTTCTAAGATGTATGTGACATAATTTGGAATTTGTTGTGTGAATGACAATGAATTTATTCATGATGCTTACAGACACATTTGTGTTTGTGTGGTATACCACACATGAATAAAGGACAGCTGATTAACTGCATGATAGTATATGAATGTCAATGTAAACTAGAAAAACTTAAAGGCTTGCGCTTGGTGGCTCTCTATATTTTGAATTTATTATTCTAAACTTAAAAGGTACCAAAGCTCATTGTAATAGTTTGTCTTGTTTTAAACTGACAAAGAAACATCCCACTCCCACCCCTCACCACTAAAAGCAGAGTTGACCATGTAGACACACACACACTCAAACATGCAAACAAATTGTATGCTTGATGTGTGACAATAAAGCTTATGTCAAATGACATCAATGTTTCACTTATACCAAAAACAAAAACAAAACAAGAACAATTACATGTTTATTTAATATGGCTCTATGATAAAAAGGGGGGGGGGTCATGGAAATAGAAAGATTGAAAATAAAGGTAAATGGCATTCTGAGGAGCATTCAAGGATTTCATACAAGGATCCATATGAACCCCTTTAATACACGTAATGAGACTGAGTTCAAGACAACACAAACTAAAGAATTGTGAATGGTGGCATTTCTATTAGCTGCCGATAGCAGTTTAACAAATCATGTCTCTCTGTTAGTTAGTTAGTAACAAACGTTCACATTGTCTGTTTCTCCTACTTATTTTGACAGATTTCAACCAAACTTTGTCAAAAGTATCAGTAGCCCAGCCCCAACATGTCACATGACCAAACTGGGGTCAAAGGTCCTCATGGGCTCAAGGTCGACATAACATCAAATTTCAAATAAGCTCAAATAACAAAAGTAGCGCTGTCAACATGTTGGCCTTGGTCAAACATTAACAAATGTTTATGGTGACCTCTTCGTCTGACCTACAGCTATGGGGTTAAAGGTCAAAATAAGGTCAAATGCCAAAGTTTATTACAATGTATATATAATATGGTAATTCTTGAGAGAAATGTTAAGTCATCAAACCAACAATCTGTGTGAACACGAATTTGTTGGCCTGCAGCTTCCGAGATCCGATCCAATTTTTTTTTTTTTAAATGAAATGATGTTCAGTGACTTTAATAATGTTTGGCAGTGTATTAAAATTGTATTTAAAAATACGGATCATAGTTCAAGCTACAAATCATGGTTCAAGACGTTAATCGTTTAACATCCTAGCAGTGAAAGACAAAACAAAAAATCCAAAATTAAATTTACTTCATTATTAAAAGAAGAGACAGAAATCCACAGAGAAACACTTTTCTATGATATTGGATGCCGTCTTCAGCTCAGGGCCTTATGTTGCTTTATGCGTTGGTATGGTGTGCACGGTGACCGTTTTAGCCGATTTTCGGCTAACTTTGACACAATTTTTGCTAAAAACGAGTTTGACAGAAAATTTGACATAATGAATTTTTTTGGCAGATTTCTGGCAGAATTCTGCAAAAAATGGTTATTTGACAGGAAAACATTAAAATGGTACATTTGTTTAAAGATATAGTCCATCATTTGTAATTTGTGTATTTTGTTCGTTTGAAGCAACAAAAGTGTTCAAAATCTAACGAAAGATACTGAACAACTAACCTGATGAAGTTTCAGCTCAGCTTCAGCTGTATATTCCGAGAAAAACAGCATTCTAGGATCTCAATTTCAAATCAAAAGTTACTGAATCATGCATCTATACGCGACGTTGCGCACTGATCCGACAAATTATAGCAACCGCGCGCGCGCGTGCGTCGTGCCAATGCTTGCGCGCGCTTCGCCGAATAACAAAACGAACTACTAATTTAAGTTTTCCTACTGTGCGTCTTAAGCATGGGCATCGCAAGGGGGGGGGGCAAGGGGGGGCGCTTGACACCCCCCCCCCGGAAAAGCAAAAAAAATAAAAAAAAAGGAAGAAAAAAAGAAAAGAAAAAGAGGCGCGAATTCATAGTGGTGTAAATTTAATGAGTTGGGGGGGGGGGCCAAAATGTCCCTGCCCCCCTCTAAAAAGTGATCAATCGAGAATATGTTGAGAAATACAGGATTTTGGGGGGAAAAATATGTTTTGCCCCCCTCTAGAAAAAATCCTGGCGACGCCCATGGTCTTAAGATGCACCGTTGGAAAGGCCTTCTTTCGTTGATTACTTCGAAATTACAGCTTCCCAGAAAGAATATTTTCACAGGGAGTTTAGTTCCCTTTACTATCTTTCAACCAAGTTTGTTTTTCAACAATAATTACGCCAGTTACTTTTTGGATGGCTGCAAATGATGGACTATAGCTTTAAGGCAAAAGTACCAATCTGCATGTGATTTTAAGTGTTTATAGTGTATTTCGAGTAATTCTTGGGAATTTGGCAGATTTTTGATAAATCTGACAGGTTTTTGATGTGCATTTAGCAGAATTTGGCTCTGACCATACGGTCACCCTGATGGTGTGAATTCTAGCCACGCTATATAGTACTCCACTGGCACCACTTGAAATGAATTGGGCACACTGTACTACATGGACTGGAATGATGCAACATGTTAGGTACAGCATTAGACATGGCAATTTGTTCAAAATTACACCCGGCATTGGAAAGAGTTCCATACCTGGACATCACTTGACACCCTGTGCACAAACCCTATGAGACTGGTCTGAACAATTCCAAGTGTTTTCTCATAAAATGCTCCAATATTACTCCTGCAAAATTTGACTTTTTTAGGACATGTTGATCACTTTCTGATGGCTGATAGGTCACTGCATGCATTTTTGTTGTAGTGATGTCCATGTATAGAATTCTTCCCACACCGGAAATACATAATGCACACCATCCAAACGTGACCCAGCAGCTACATGTTCATTTTATTGATCGACGTCATTATATTAATCATGTCATTTCTTAGGTTTTCAGTTTTATGGAATATACGCTTTTAATACAAATATGCAAAGGTCTTGAAAACTACATAAAGCCAGCGATGTTTTGGAGATTCATGTGAAGGTAAAAAAGTTGTACATGGTTTGTAAATTATTGGAAACAAATCACAGTGATTGAATAAAATAAACTGCTCGAGTTTAAACTGATGAAAAGATGATTTGGGTATTAATTGAGGCCCTTTAAATAACTTCCTTGTAAAGTGTCGTTTTTTATTTTGTTTTGAATTGAAATTAAGGGAAAACGTAACTGTTTTTTTAATTGCTGGTGATAAAAACGTGGGTAGGTCTACTCCAGTTTCCTTTCGTTTCATGACTTGAACTATAAACCGGCCGTGCGCGCGTGGTGAACAGCGCCACCAATATCGCGTCAAATAAAGTATGTAATCATTTATGACGTGGCGCAGCCATTTTTCTGTTGCTGTACCCTGGCTTGTACGAACCGCGTACTTGCTTTTTTAAACTACTGATTTAGCATTTTAGAATCACTCATCATCGCCTATGTTTTGAGGTTTTGTAGATTGACAATACATCCAAGATGTGGAGGGGAATTTTAAGATTATCTTGTGTCCTTTCTGCCGTGTTTCTGACTGTTAAAGCAGATGAACACACCCATACAGTAAGTTGTGATTTTGTGCCGCTAGCATGCCATATAATTGGTTACACCTCTATGTTCCGACACCCCTATGTTCCGACTGAACATATTCCTATTCCTAACCCTAACCCTAACCCTAACTGGGAGTAACACAATCTAGGTTGTCGGAACATAGGGGTGTCGGAACATAGAGCAGTCACCATATAATTTACTATTTAGACATGGTAGACATGGTAGACGAACTGATTGATTTGTTTTCATTACTTTCAATTTCATGATTTAAGGAAAGAATTTAAAATTCGCAGTGGCTATTGTTACGGCAGCCGTAACGCATTTCCCATTTTCTATCGTTATTATGGTAGACTGCAACCTGGCAACTTTTATAAAAAAAACCTGACAAGAAAATATAAAATTAGAAGGAAAAAAGTGAATTTGAACTTTATGAAATTCGGACTTTATTTCCCTTTTAAAAAAAATCCTCCAAAGCCTCAGGTTAGAAAAGGAAAAAAATTCGAGTGCAAAACTGAGATTCGAACCTGCAACCTCGCGGTGCAAAATCCTACCCTCTATCGGCTGAGCTGGCGCACTGCTCGATAAAACGTGGGGAAACAAATAATTATATACCTGCGTGAGTATCAAAAAAATATCGTAGAGGGCGCTAAACAACGAGTGCCGTAACGATAGCCACTTCGTTTAAAATTACAGTCTGTGTCACTTTGTCGATTTTACACTAAGTCTGTTGGGATGAGTGATGAATGTCGTCAACTTTTTTGTTTTGTCTTATTTAAACAAAATTCTCGTTCTCGAAACTACACTACACAGTCACAGACAGTCGTTTTCCTAGTTGCGGATAGCAAACATGATTCAGGCTGCTTTCGCCCCGGCCCAACTACTCCAGGAATTCAAGTGACATTGGTTAAAAAGTTTACCTTGAGTGATGGAGATACTACACAATAATTTTCCAAATTTAAGCTCCTTTTAATTTGACTTTAGGACTTTAAATGTACCGATGCCCTTTTTCCTAGTAGAGTTCCGCATTGATTCAATCAGTTCCGAACCTAGCCCCACTAGTCATTGCTAGTGTGGCCGCGGTATGCTGCGCTGAACCTCTGGCCACACACCGTGGTACCGCGCACTACTGAGGACGAAGTTTTCAAAAAAATTACGGTCAGTTTCTTACATATGGTTTTATTCTATGATGTCTTATCTATCACTTCTGAGAAGCTTAGGTGTAATGATGTTCAATTTTCCGAGATATTCTTGAATCTTTCTGGAGCCCATATGCACTCGTGAAACGTCTAGCGACGGCTGTTTCCTGTACCATGCATATATCGTCTGGGGGCCACGTGCACTGATCACTATTCAGGATCCACGGCACAGGAAACAGCCGTCGCATTTCCAACTCGCGCCCTCGCTCGACAAGTAATTTGCATAAACGCGACGTCACAGCTTGAGGTCATCTCTCGTCACATTCAAAATGGCTGCCATCACCAGACGTTTCACGAGTGCATATGGGCTCCAGAAAGATTCAAGAATATCTCGGAAAATTGAACATCATTACTCCTAAGCATCCCAGAAGTGATAGATGGGACATCATAGAATACAACCATATGTAAGAAACGGACCGTAATTTTTATGAAAACGCCCTCAGTAGTGTGCGGTACCATGGTGTGTGGCCAGAGGTTCAGCGCAGCATACCGCGGCCACACTAGTGGGGCTATTCCGAACCGATCAAACACTGTACTAGGCCTAGGCCTACTTCGCGCGAAAAAAAAATCAAGCGAGAAAATCTATTTTTCACCCAGATCCTGAATCAAACACATTACTGATAGAGTATATTTAATTTACCAAAAAAAGTTCATTCAAGAGAATTCCAGCAAATTTTTAAAAGAGAAAAACTTAAATGATTTTGAAACTTTTGTCTGCAGCGCAACGGCACGAACTTACACACGGACCGAAAACATTGGAAAGATTCCCATATCTGGCCATGGCATCACTTAGCTTGAGTAACTCCAGCTGAAGTGAATTCCTGATGAGCTTGTTAAAGCTGGAGTTACTCAAGCTAGCCATCACTCATTTTTTCCTTCAGTCACCTATCAGTATCAGCCATCAGAAAGTGATAATATGTCCTAAAAAGTCAAATTTAGCAGGGAAAATATTGAAGTATTTACTGAGAAAACAATTAGAAATGTTCAGACCAGTCTCATACAGTTTGTGCACAGGGTGACAAGTGATGGCCAGATACGGGAATCTTTCCAAAACATTTGACACAGCACAGAATACGTCACACAAAATCGATTAACGCACATGTAGTTGGGTCGTAAGTGCACGCGCGATCCTGAACTAGGCAAAAACATACGGTCATTCCTTGGCGAATTTTCAAAAACTAGCGACCCTATAGTCCCATAAATGTGACGGAAATACTGGACTACCTCCGTATTTAATGTCACACATCCCACATGTGGTATATGCAAGGAGGGTCCCGTTGCTAGGGGGAGCCGAAAATTAATTAAAGATCCAATTTATTTTGTTAGCAGAAAATCAACCCAGCTATAGTATGACTGCTAAATAGCACAAAATCGTTAAATTTGGTATCTTCAGAGGTCTAGTTATCCAAAAGTCATGGTAATTTGTCTAAGAATGCAGACGGTTTTGAAAAAGCATGGCGTCTCTGATATTTACCAGACTGTTTCCCGGCCACCCTTCTTATAGTCAAAAGGCCAATGGGGTCAGGGAACCAGACAAGAGCTTCAATCATCCACTGAGCGTGCGTCAACTTTGGCAAAGCGCACCGCTGCTGTTGCCTGTCATTCCAAAAGCTTTGAAGCCCTCTGCAGTGAAGCGCGCCCTCTTGTGTGCCCTCTTCATCCGCAGCCGCATATTGCATCCGGGTACTTCACAGAGCGCCAATCAAGAATTTTGTTATTTCTAAAAAATGACATTGTCAACCTAAAGCAGACTTCTCTCACTGTAATGACACCTTCTTGGGGTAGAAATTACGATTTTCCTACGCGGTTTACGGGCCGGTTAGTGCCGTGCAGCACGACTTGCGTGCTCACGGTAGACATGGTACATCGGGCGGCGGCGATCACCGTCTTTATTTTCGTGCTGCGTTTTGTCATTGTCATCGTCATTTTACCCCCAAGTTTCCCTCAAAAATTCAAAACCTTGCCCTTTATTTATGACATCCTATATGTTCTGAATGTGGCCAACTAGTTTGGTTGGTCAAATAAGTTAAAAGTGGATTTTGTAAACGCGGTTTACGGTTGGTGCAGTGCGATTCAGCGTGCCTTGCGCGTTCACAGTACATCGCGGTGATCGCCATCTGTATTTGAAAGAAATGTTGCAACCTGACCACTTAATTCTTCATATATCATATATCATTATCTTCATATAAGACATGAATCTGGGACTGAGAAACATTTCCAATTTTGTTAGGAAATACTTTAAAAAAATTCTTGACTCTCCATAGACTTTGTACACAACCGCTGAAGTGGCGTCAGGTTGCAATATTTTTTCCAAACAATTTTTCAGCAAGAACCAACGGAAAGAATTCCGTATATGGATGTCACTTATCTGCCGCCAAACACATAAATATTTACCTCACCTTATGATTTCATTGAACTGAAAACATCTCGGGAAAAAGGTGTTTTTAGAGCTCATTTGAAGTGCACACATCGTTCGGACAGCAGACACAAGTTGTAGGCAGCCATTTTGACAATGATTGAAGAGTGGTCTGGAAGTCTGCGGTGCGCATGACAACACACTAGGCCGAATGTCATACACGTACACATCTATTTACATGTACACGCAGGTAATTTGATAATCATATATTGTTCTTGGCAGTACACAACAAAAGAGGAAGTTGTATTATGGATGAACACCGTGGGACCATACCACAACCGACAAGAAACCTATGGTTTCTTTTCCCTACCTTTCTGCCGAGGACCCAAGAAAGACATCAGTCATTATCATGAGACATTGGGAGAAGCACTACAGGGAACTGAGCTGGAATTCAGTGGACTGGACATAGATTTTGCAAGTATGAAACGGATTCTCTTTCACTCCTTGTTTTTAATGAATATTTGTTATGGGGCAATTCCACACCAAAGTGACACCAAGAAATTCAAATACATGTGACTTAAACAAATTTGGCATCAAATGAAAGCTAAAAGTCTATATTTTCAAGATTTGAAGTCGGAATTTTATTTTTTATACATTCCGGTACCAAAAAATAGGATTATGTAATAATCCTCTTTTAATCCTAAAAATGTGATTAATAGTGATATGAAAGTATTCTACCAGTAGGCACACAAAATATGTACTAATGCCATCAGTTTCTGTCATGAGAAAGTATTGGTCTTGAAAAACCGACTAAAACTTGTTTTTAACATTTTGCGTAATTTGTTTCGCTTCAGTGACTTCTTATATTTCAGCCTTCGAAAATGTCCTTCCGTTACCGAAAAAATACATATTTTTAATTTATTTTTAAAACTTGCAGTATGAATGCATTGAAAGTTATTGTGCAAAGCAAGTTTAGGTAGGCCTTCAATATGACATTATAACTGACACTGCTGTACTTCTCATTTTTTAATTACAATTAATTAAATCACGTCCTTCCGTTACCAAATTGGTAACGGAAGGACGGTAACGGAAGGACAAATCGTATTTTTATCAAATGTTACAACATTTGCGCTCATGTTTGAAAAATGAAAATCACTGCAAATACATGCATGTATAATGAGCATTGAAAGGACATTCATGTGACCCACCTTCACAAAAGCAGGATAAGCAGACAAGGTGTTTATTACAAAGGAAGGCACAGGCATGTACAACATGTACAATGTACATGTACATATATGCCGATGTACCAGTACTTGTACATGTATGGAGTTGTTGCAGAAAATCAAATCATAAAGTTGCTGCCATCAGCATTCATGGACAATAGAGAAAGATACGAATTCTGTGAAGCCATTCCAGAAGCAAATTAAGTCAAAAATGAGATGGCAGAAAGTACCGGTACTTTGGGGGACTTTCATTCAATTTACATGTGTAAGACATGTGAGGTGCAATCTTTGACAAATTATGCCCAAGTTACAATTTCAGTTTGGATGTTTATAAATTAATTGTTACTACTCTAAATCATTATAATTTGATTTCAAACATTGATTTTAGAGTTTAATTAAAAGCAACACCTAACTGAAGCCATCAGTTCTACCAGTAGATGTTTTTACCTTAAATGTACATGTAGGCTGGTCGGCCCCCCCCCCCCCCCCACCCTTTAGGTAAACCTTTGAACCTACCGATATTATTATTAAAAGTTGTTGGTGAACATGTAACCAATATACTCAAGAGTTCAAATACTGTGTATTTCAACTTTTAAGGATTGAGGTGATGGGTTTGAAGTATATTTCTGTAGTAGTCCTGTGTTAGTGAATTATGTGTTTTGGGTTGTTTTCGTTTTTCTTTTGTTACATTAATTAGCAGGCTTCTATCTTTATCTCAATAGTTTCTTGGGTATAATTATTTACGCCAGGTCTGCATATTGTTGATTTCACATTCAGTTACACATTTCAGCAATTTGTTTCACTTGTTTAATTAGTGTAAATTCACATTTTGTTCATGCTATAATTGAGTAAACCTTTTGTCCTTCCGTTACTGTCCTTCCGTTACCAAATTATAATCTGCTTAAAACGTTGTAATTATATTACCGAAACACTTAAAGTCAAATGAAAGGCGGTATAGTATAGATAAAGCTTCAGGGATTCCATTTCCTACCTTTAGAATATAATTGCCCCATAAAATTCACAGAGTTTACGCAAAACGCGAGTAAGTTAGAAAACCCTTGTCAGTTTTACCGTCCTTCCGTTACCGACCCCATTAATATTCATAATTCATAAACGGGAGGCATTCATGCCCCCCAAAAGTGTGGAAATTGAAGGTAGCATTATAGCAATACAATTGTGACATTTGTTTGCTGTAAGTATGAACAGTGTCTGTGATACACACATTTGAAATTTTGTTTAATGAGTGAAAACGTCCTTCCGTTACCGTGGAATTGCCCTATGGTCTTCTTTGTATCGGACTGACTGACTGTCACTTGTGTCTATGGTGCTTGTTGGTGGAGAGAGTCGGGCAGTGTTATCATATAGGAATACCTTGTACAAGGCGAAATCCAGCCCATTGTGTACACAAGATGCATGAAAAACATTGCAGTAAAAAGCCATTCTGACTCAGTGGAATAGGATTGTGTGCTGTGGGACCAGCTTGCCTTGTCTTGTTTTCCTTTCAAAGCCAGAGAAGCACCGTACATGTAGTTCTGCTTTCGGTTACCCTACCTACCCTATTTTGACAGCCCCTACCCTAATATTTTTTGGGGAAAATGAGAGGAAAAAAACCCGGAAATCATCAATTGCTACCTTTTACCCTTGACTACACGCAGACACCTCCATATGATCGTACACACAAAAAAAATTGCCAAAAAAAATCTTCCCTACCTATCTACCCTATTTTCAAATGCCATGTAATTGGAAGCACAACTAAGTTTTTTTGTTTGTCCCTATACATGTATATTATTAGAGCCATGTATGGTGAGGCAGACTATTGTGTTTGATGTTACCAATATGCCTGTGAGTGTCAATGCCTCTCCAGTGTTCAACCACACATATTCTGTTGCAGCCTTGGGAAAGTGTTGGCTAAATATTTAAACTTTTCAATGATGCATACGTGATTGTTTACCAAACATACACCAAATTGAAACATGAGTTCTTATCCTTAGTTGATACCAGATGTATGATTATGTTATTGAATGGGATAACCAACTTTCGGTACTGCAACTTCCATGACAACACTTCAAGGGGCCCCATAAGAACTGAATTGAATCCAGGGAAAAAAAATACTGGGCAAAAACCCAGGTCTTGCTTTGTTTGCATTTTGCTCTCAATTTAAAGTTCAGTTTAGTTCACTTACTCAATTCAAGATTGATTACAAGAGTTACAAAATATGGCAAATTAGGATAAGAGGTGTAGGTCTTGCATGCAGGTGAGAGAAAATTCACGGAAATAAATCTTCACATAGACATCATAATGTATGTTTCTAAAAATGTTTAAAAAAAAAATTCAGTTGTATTTTTTTCTCCACTTTTTCCCATAATATGAATTGTGATGTATACAGTGTAATAGTGTGAATTTGTGAAATGGTGGACTTTTCTTGCAAATAATTGATGACACGTGTACAGGTTACAAACGATGCATAATTGATTGGTTCAGAGAGGACGTAGCATATGGCTCTGTTCTCAACATAGAGTAAAAACATTATTTGTTGACATGTCCCAAAGACTAAGATCTTTGTGAGCATAAATTATTGCACACTGCATATGGTTTGGTATGATTGGCTACAGTACAATATATAAATGAACGTGTACCCTTCTACGTATGTGCACAATTCAATAAGGTGGTTTCCAGCTGTTGCTCAGGTAGATCAATTTGACTGGCTGTGTATACTATAACTAGGCTTTCACTTTCATGAGGCAGGAATCGAGCCATGAATGCGTGTTTTGCTAAACGCATACGGCAGTGCCTCCTTCAAGCTTCCTGTTCCTGTTCTTGTGTGCAGAAAAGAACTTGGGCATTTCATAGAATCCATATGCGCAAACCCTTTTCTAAAAAGGTTGAAAAATACTTCGTTCAATGAGATAATCTTCTCAATCCTATTGATTGTGACATTAGTTTATTTGACCTTGGATTAAACTTCTTATCACTCTTGAACGTTTTGCAGCATATGAGAAATTAAGAGGTTTTCCCTCCCTTTTCTTCGTGTCACGGAAATCCAAAATCACCAAATTTTGTGGTTGCGTGTTTGGCAAACCAGCAGTTTACTTGGGTTGTGCATACCCATGACACAACGTGGCTCCTACATGTAGGTGTACATGTTCTTGCAATTAATGGTTACCTACTCTCTCTAATATTTCATTGCAAAGATATCTGCATAAATTTTTATGCCAAGCATTTAACACATTTTTGGGGGGGTTAGGTTTTTTTTTAGAGAAGGCCCCAAAGAAGGTCCTGTACATGTACATGTATGTGTCAGGGCACATACGCAGCCATTTCGAGGTACACTGTACATTATGTGCATTACATGCAATTCCAATGCCAGAGAAAATCTCCACTGAAGATGATGTTGGTTGGATTGAATGATTTCTCGCCCCCTTGTCCTAAATCCTTTGTCATTTTCTTATTCATAATCATTACACTAATACAGATGGTGATATGAATTGAATGGTTTGCTTTATTTTCAGCTGATGTACCACAGACCAAGTACTGTGAGGTTGAGATGTCAGAGGATTCTTACAAAGCCTTTGTATATGCTGTAAAGAATCATTACTGGTATCAGATGTACATAGATGACCTCCCCATCTGGGGTAAGTCTGGACAAAAATAAAAGATTGGATTGGAGTAACAAGTAATTATATATTCAAACATTTTTATGTTTTCACATTATTGTCCATGTTTGCAACTCAGTTCCATTTTAAAAATTGCAAAATTTATTGTAATTTGAGTCTAGATAAAGAAACATGACGTTAATACATAAGTCTGTATTGAATGTTGAATGATACAATTCAAGAAGTAAATGTAAACCATTACCCCTTGGGATCTTTTATTAAAAGTTTTACAGGGCCAACATTTGAGTTAAATACTATATTGTATGTGAACAGAACCACAAACATCATGCACCTAACAATCTGAAGCCTGGATTCTAAACTGTTCTCATCTTGTGTCTTTCAGGCATTGTTGGTGAAGTTGACGACAACCCAGAGAAGGGACCAGACTATTACATTTGGACACACAAGAAACTGGACATTGGTTACAATCTGAACCAGATAGTAGATGTCAATCTGACGAGTGAGGTTAAGGTCAAACTGGAAAAGGGCAACAAAATTCCATTCACATACCAGGTAAGCCCCTAATTCCCTAGGTAAATGTATAAATACTTGGAGCTTTCCCAAGTCCATCAATATCCATCACTTTGAGATGTGTACAAAAGACTTGAGTACCAAATGCACCAACAATCCACCAAAATCCAGCAGTGACAGTGCTAGTGGATTTTATTGTAATGGATTCAGTAGTAATGGCTCACATGCAAACTGAAAACTAATATTTCACATGTACATGTAGATGATACTGTAACCGAGCTGCCAAAATCCACCAAAAACCAGGGTGTGGATTTTGATGAATCTGGGACGGTTAGGGTTGAAATAACTCAAGATTGTTGGAGTAAACCCATCTCCAATGCCCTTGAACTTTTTTTGAGTATTTCCCTTTCTTGGCAAGAGATAGTTGAGGTTGGGCAGTGTTAATGTGATCTAAATGTCATAACTTTTCCTGTTTTAATCAGTGGTGGTGGTGGTGTTGGTATTGGTGTTGAGAGTACAAGAAGATTCCATATTACACCATATTACATAGTTTTCTAGTTTAATGTTGGAATGTAAAGTGACTTGGGCGTAGCAGCGCAGTGCAGCAGGAAATTAGATCAGATGCTACTGCATAAATCTCACTTGTTATTGTAATCCCAGTGATACTTCACTGGGTACAAAACCAAGCCCACTCCATTTAGAAATTCTACGGTACATATCGCACTGTGCAGTCGGCCATCTTTTTAGCTATTGAGAAACAGCTTTGCCATGGTGCCGAAGTACATGTAACATTTTCCTATATGTACTTTATAACTACCTGAAATAGAGATTTATTTTGCCTTGGAAGTATCCATAGAGTACTTTGTTATTAATTTAAGTTTTTCTTTTGGCTACAGGTGAATTGGAAGAAGTCTTCAGTGAACTTCAAGAAACGTTTTGATAAATACTTGGACCCCAATTTCTTCAACCACAGGGTCAGTACTATTTTTTTGCACATAACTAAGGTAGCACTTGCAATTTAACAGACTCTCATTGTGGTTACAACAATGTTGTTATCTATAATGCAGGAATCTATTCAAGTAGTTCAATCTGATGTAAAGGGCCCTGCATAGTTACATTCTAAACTGTTAGTTTATTTGCCTTGAATGGACCCTTTTAGGTGAGATTCTCCTGATTATATTCAGATTTCCAATCACAAAATAAAAACTTTGTGTGAAATTTTGGAGTTTCACAAATTTTACAATTGAAACCGAGCACAAAATTACTCTAAAAAATTTTTTACACTTGAAATAACAGATGGAAACGTGGTGTTCATCATATTGATAACGTGGTTTGCAACCGAGTCCGCCCCGAGTTGTGTGTTTTGCACTACATGCAGCACTTTATATGGAATGCAGTATGATTCAATGACATATGCACTTTATTATATGCAAACGCATTATTCATTAGTTAATATGGGAACTTTCAGCTTTGCACAAACCAGTGTCTCATTTGTTAAAATTTCAGTGGTTTTGCTTTGGATTGTTCTGACTGTAGGCTTAGTTTAAATGAGAGAATGTACGACATTCCTGGATATAAATTCAGCAACTCCTCTAGTGTTTAATTCAACAATTTCTGGTGTTTCTTTTGTTGATTTTAAATCCTGTAATGTCTGTTGTTCATAGATTCACTGGTTCTCCATCTTCAATTCCTTCATGATGGTCATCTTCCTTGTGGGTCTGGTCTCCATGATTCTTATGAGGACACTGCGCAAGGACTATGCCAGATACAGCAAAGATGATGACCTGGATGATATGGTACATGTACACATTAATCCATGAATCCTAAAGTCTGAATTTTTCCATTTTGTAAAATCAAAATTCCGTTTTCTTAAAATTGAAACTTCCATTTTCTTCGGCTTTCTTAAAAAACAAACACCACAATCACACACAAGTTGACACAACACGGAAGTTTCGCTCTAGATGTCACCGCACGCACGCACACACACGAGGTAGCCTGCTGGCTGCGCGCAGGGCATACAGAAAATAGTGCATGAATACATATACGTACATATATATAGCCATGGTATACAATGGAGTGTCGTTTTGTGATGCATAATTCATGACAGACGGCTTGCCTGTGCACCAATCAGGGACCACTGTGCATGCGGTGAGAGCCAAGTAGGCCTTTTAGCAGCCGTGATATGCGGGCGACTTGGCAGTATTGGTTTCAAGACGTTCTTTGCGGTCATTCCGCATGTTAAATCATATTAGGCCGTGTGTGCACAGACCGCACTGCGAAAGGCATCATGGAACCAAGACTAGCAATTTGCATTTTGACACGAACTCAGCTGGTTCCAAATGAAATACAAATCCCCGCAGTACTGCCGTGTTACCAGTGATGCTGATGTTGCAAAATAAGGTTGTGTCCGAAATAGGCTTCCAAAGCTATGGCTTGTGTTTGCCGGCATATTCTAAAGTCCGCAGTCCTGCACGATACGGAAAACGGACAGAATTTCATGGAAAATAAGGACAACACTGCCAAAAAGATACATGAAAACTTGAAAAGGAAACTAATAAACAGTATTCGTGGTGTCAGTCTTCTTACCAAATGCACATCGTAGCGGTACTGAAGCGATCGCATGGCCAAGCGCATGCACGTACATTATGTACAACGTGATGCAACATCAGCATCACTGGTAACACGGCAGTACTGCGGGGATTTGTATTTTATTGGGAACCAGCTGAGTTTGTGTCAAAATGCAAATTGCTAGTCTTGGTTCCATGATGCCTTTCGCAGTGCGGTCTGTGCACGCACGGCCTAATATGATTTAACATGCGGAATGGCCGCAAAGAACGTCTTGAAACCAATACTGCCAAGTCGCCCGCATATTACGGCTGCTAAAAGGCCTACTTGGCTCTCACCACATGCACAGTGGTCCCTGATTGGTGCACAGCAAGCCGTCTGTCATGAATTATGCATCACAGAACGACATTGCATTGTATGCCATGGATATATATATATATGTACGTATATGCCCTGCGCGCGGTCAGCAGGCTACCTTGCGCATGCGTGTGTGTGTGCGGTGACATCTAGAGCGAAAGTTCCGTGTTGTGTCAACTTGCGTGTGATGTTGGTTTTTGTTTTTTAAGAAACTTGAAGAAAACAGAATTTTCAATTTTAAGAAAATGGAATTTTGATATTACAAAACGGGAAACTTTGGACTTCAGCATATTCCCTTGTAGTTGTAATGATCAGAGACCTAGAAAATAACTGTAGACGAGGGATTAGGTTGCAGCCTAACATGGTTGGTAAATTGCCAGGGGTGATTTCACTAACCTCATTGTAACTTATGATACAGCCTTGTATTTACGAGGCATGTCTGTGCTACGAAGGATATTGGACAACAAAGCGGGCAAGGTGAAGCCTCTTCATCATCAATTGCTCACCAAAACTGATGGCTTCATTGCGAGAAAATTGCGAGAAAGTAGTTTAGAATCTTTTTTTTTTTTTTTTTAATTAATACTTGGTAAACCAAGAACTCTGAGCATGGTTTTACTTGACCAGTATGCCAATCCATGAGCACTATTTTGGGGAATATGTATGCACATCCCAGGAAAGGGAAGTTTACTTAACGAGAAAGAGCTACATTTACAATTGTTTCCAGTTCATTATATAATACAACTGAAAAGAAAGAGATGGAAACCAATATGGAAGTCAGTGAGTGTTGTTATCTAATTCATTTGTATGTCATTATATCGCACATCTCTTACCGGGAAATGTTCAACATGAACAGACATGGCACATCGTTAGTGTTCGTCAGGACACTAACTTGTACATAGAGTGTATAAAGTTTCCCCAGCCAGTAGTCAAATATGATAAATTGTTATCAGTTAACTAAATATTCCTGTTTTATTGGCTTTACCAAGGAACGTGATCTGGGTGATGAGTATGGATGGAAGCAAGTGCATGGTGATGTATTCAGACCTGCATCTCATCCCATGCTGTTCTCTGCTCTGATTGGTAGCGGTTATCACATGGCCACTGTAGCTCTTGCTGTCATCGTACTTACACTCTGGGGACATCTATACACAGAGTAAGTAACATCTCAAGATATTCAGGCGTTTTCCTGAAGGAGCTCCTCTAAGGATACCAGTATGAAGTTGGTTCAAAATACAGAAGTTCATTTGAAATTGCTCTTATAACCCTAAAAGGGCCGGGTTATTTTGACCATCTCTCAGGGGGGTGGGGGGCAGCCCGAAGATCTCGGCCATCGAGTGACGAAAAATTGTGAAACTCGGTACATGCATAGAGCAACTCATCATAAACATACCCAAGAAATGTCATGACAATAGGTGAAAGGGCTTTGGAATTATGGCTAATTAATTATTCATATGTACGAATGGTAATTCTGCTCTGTGTACACCATGTATGGGAAAATTCAGTTTTCATGGCGCGTAGCGCTGGAAAATTTTTTGCTGCGTGGCAACCCGTGATCCGATTTTTATGTTTTTGGTATCAAAAATCAAGGCTCGAGGCTAAAAAGTCGTAACAGCTCGGGTCGCGAAAAATTTTGTTAAAGGCTATCGCGGAAAAAGTTGAGGGGGGGGGCAGATTCCACGCCCCTCCCCGGCCCTTTTAGGGTTAAGGCTACGTCGCCTTCCTGATGAGAAAGTCAGATTGAAACTCTAGTGGACAGTCATATACCCATTTGGATCAATCTAGATCTGTCAGCATGTATACAGTCTGATAATAATTCCAAAATTCGAGACATTAGCTAACTGTTTATAATGAAAACAGCATGAATTTCCAATTTGGAAGAGTTGCATTCCATTGAGAACCTTAGTTTATTTTTATCCTTATTCGGAATGATTTCTGAAAGTGTTCTGATGAAATTGAAGTTGATTTTTTTAATGGTCTTTTAGAATACATGAAAACCAAGATGGTAAACATACATGTAAACTAGTGTATTATTCAGGTAACATCAACTCTTCTTACTTCTGCTCTATCTGTAGCAAAATATCCAACGATAGATTACATGAGTTTGTATGTACCCTATCCCTTGGGTACACCTTATTTTTGTAACACCATTATGACCAGCTTGAAGGACGATGCAAAAACTAGGTTGGACTTATACACAAATCAAGCTCACTGTGAACTGAGGATAACTGTTTTGTCAAATGCAAAACCTACAAAGAATCGTTTTATTTTGGTGGTCTGTAACTTGTTTGTAAAAAACAAATGTTGTGATTGAAGCTGTTTATGTATTAATAGTTAAAGCAGCAGACAAAAAGTCTCACAAAATCCACAAGCGCACAATATTAATAATATTCAAATCATTATTATTTGTGATGAAATGGAGACGGTTCACTAAAATGGCTAGATAAATTTGTGGAGTATGACATAATGATAAATTCTGAGTATTGAGACCAATGTTGAAAGCAGTGCCTTATTTGCTTGTTTGCAGTCGGGGGTCCATCCTTAGCACCAGTATCTTTGTGTATGCAGCAGCAGCACCTGTCAATGGCTACTTTGGTGGTGGTCTGTACTCAAGAATGGGAGGTAGGACAATGAGTTGGTTGCTGACATTCATGTAGTTTATATTGACCTGACTCTGACCTAGTGTTATCATGTTGAATGATACTTCAGTTTGCTGTTGTGCTAGATTTAATAGCGGTATAGATTATAACATATTAAGGCTAAGAGTGTCAGACATATTAATTCAAAGGAAAAAAATATATACACAATGTTAAAAAAAAAAAGTGACTTGCTGGCATCTTCTTTTTTTTTCACTAAAGAGGATTAATCAATGCCTCCTTTGAATGGATGTCTGAAGCACTTAGTAAGGGCACCTGTCTAGATACAAGCTATGCTGGACATTTAAACATCTATAGCTTCATTATTGCATATAACTTTGGAAACTATGCAGAATACTGAAGCAATGACAATCTTAAGTAGAGAGCCTTTTACTTTTGTTTGTGTTATCAATGAGATGTTGTGCTGGTTTCAGACGTTAATGTTGAATGCTCTGAACTGACTTTGGTATTGTCCAAAAATATCTAGCAGTCAACAAGTCCTGTTTAATTGTGTTTATACCAGCCAGACCTGATCTCAGCAGTAAACAAGATATCTTCCATTCTAGCATATTTGTTTTGGTGCTGATGGAGTCAGACGCTTTTACACTTTATTTGCTTTTTTTGTATCGTTGGATTGTTTGAGTTAGATTGAGATTTCGGGATTTGAGTTAAAAGATATCATTTGCAGATTTGCCCCAATTCAGAATTGATTATGTGTCTGTATTGGCTTCCCTTTTCTGCAAACAGAAACACTGTGCCTGACCAGTTACTGTCAACTTATAAAAAAAAGTTATAGTGAGGTTAGGCTCAGTGACATCAACCTGCAATTGCAACCTGTCAAGCAGTGCACATTTTCCATATTGATCCTGTTGGTTTTTTTAGTAGTTCAACAAGATACCATTTATGTTCTGAATATTTAAATCTGCTAATTTCAGCACTTTGTGCATTTTTTTATTTGATACCTATGTTGGATTCACTGAAATACGTTGAAGACTACTTAATGAGGCTTATGTAGGTATCACATACTCACTCCAGGAGAATGCCACTGTATTATTTTTCTCTGCAGTTCATTTGAATCCCAATTTGGGTTCACTTTTCCAAACATTTATTACTTTTGATTGGAAAGAGAACCTATTACATGTATTACAAGTTGCCTCCAACAACAGTATTAACAACAGTTAAACCATAAAGTCTTCCGCACCATATTGAGTTTGTTATAGCAATGATCCATGTACCGTATATCAAAGGCCTCTATGTAACTTTTGATGATGATGGGTAACAAAAAGTCCTTACTTGGTGTTCATCTTTTGGGGGATGTTTTGATTTTTTTGTACTTGATCATATTAGTCAAACTTTGGAACGAACCGATGTGTTTTATAATTTTGTTGTGGATTAGGCAAAGTGTGGATCAAGCAGATGTTACTGAGTGCCTTTCTGCTGCCCTTCCTTGTGTGTGGCCTGGCTTTCTTCATCAATTTCATAGCTATTTATTACCATGCATCCCGAGCCATCCCCTTTGGAACTATGGTAAGTCTGCAATCGTAGAAAAGATGTACAAGCTAACCAGTGTTTCAGTGGGTAAACTGTAAGCACCTCAATATATCGATATTAATAATTATCCGATATTATTTTGATATTGATATCACCGATAGCAAATTTTGTAATCATATCGTAAATATGTCAGATAATAGTCAAAATAAATCTCCCATTTGTGCCCCTTTGTGTTTAACGTTTGCTGCTTAGTGAAATAAAACTTGGCGGGAACTTGTGCTTGTGACTCAAAATAAAAACATCACGAAATGCCTAGTGACGTCGCTTTGTGCTCTGCTTTCGCTGGAATTCGCAGTCTCCCCAATGTAAAACCTCAAAAGAAACCGCCCGTTCTGGACAAACTGCCAGTGCTGAGATTTGTTTTAAAAGTTTGAGCAATATGCTCCAAAAGAAAGCTGTAGAAAATTGGGACTTTTGTTTTTAATCAAAGTGTCATCTTGATGGTCTTTAACTTATGGGTGGCATGGGTGGCTTGTGCGTAAAGCGCTTGCCTCTCACCAATGTGGTCCTGTTTTGAATCCTAGCCGTGGCTTGTGCGTAAAGCGCTCGCCTCACCAATGTGGCCCTGGTTCCAATCCCGGCCGCGGACCATACATGCCATACGTGAGTAGAGTTGTGCGTTGGTTCTCTTCTGTGCCACGAGGGTTTTTCTCTGGGCCCTCCGGTTTCCTTCTCTGGGAAAATCAAACACTTTCGATCTCTGGCTGTGCTCCGTGGTCATATATTGGTTGCTGTGACTCGCTGCCAGAGGCGCCTTTACATGCCTGTGGCCCGACCGCGTTGTAGCGCGTCCTTCCCAATTCAGCTTCTCAGCTGCAAGTAAGGATGATTAGCCTCCCAAATTATTATTATTATAATACATGGGATAATCGATAATATTCTCGATATTGGATTTCCGATATATAGATTATTGAAAATTCTGATATCGATGGTGCTTAGTAAACTGAACTTTGTACAGTCCTGAAAAGGCTTTCCAGATTCAGAGATTGACATATGGAGAGCCACACACATGTAGTTCCCAAACCTTGCAGAACCTTAGGACTTGCATTCTCACTTAACTATGCAATGTGTGTTAGAAACTAACCTGTATAAGTTTCAAACTCGATACTATTCAGATAAATGGTAAAGAGCCATGTACAATTGAATCCATGTCAAATGCCCATGCAAGTTAAGGTTAGGGCTGGATTCAGCACTAGATTCAATCGGCAATGCAGTACCTGATTCATCGTCGCATTCATGCATGAAAAATTACAATTTTGGTATTCATCACCAGCTTTACCAGCATTGTAAAGATTTGGCCACCCAATGCCAAGTACATTTGCTGGAAAATGAGTCGACATCATTTTTTTTCCTACCACATTACCTCTGTTTACCTGTGAAGCAGAGAAAGGAGCATATTGATTGATGGATGCACCTGTTACTAATTGTCCCCATGCTAGGTGGCTGTGACGTGTATCTGCCTATTCGTCATCCTTCCTCTCACTCTTGTTGGCACCATAGTTGGCAGAGCTATAGCTGGTCAGCCCAACTTTCCATGCCGGGTCAATGCTGTACCAAGACCCATCCCTGAGAAGAAATGGTTCATGGAACCTGCAGTTATTGTCATGCTTGGAGGAGTACTGCCATTTGGCTCCATCTTCATTGAAATGTAAGATCAGAAGAGGTGAAAAGGATGCTAATATTATGGCAGATCCCTTCATGTTGTTATATAGGAGGGATATCAATTGGAACAACACAGTGGGAAAAAATAACAATTCTGTACTAAGAAAGGGTATACAAATTGTTTTTTATCAGGGGGTTTACTTTAAAATAATGGTTTGCCAGTCACAAACTTATATATTTATTCATTGCTTAGTTAGCCCATGAAAGTCTGTAAACTTGTTTGCATCGGGGTCCCGTGGTAGAATATGAGGAAGGAAATTACTGATTATGAGGTGGCAGCAAAACTCCAGGGAACAATTTCTGGAGAAAAATTGACTGAATCAGGAAGAGACTGAAGTCCTGATCCACATTTTGACCCTACCTGTGATTTGATCCTCCCCCTAACTAGCCCCCCTTCCCCACTGAATAATTAGGGTTAAGATTTGGGGTATTATTAACCAGTTAGCGCAGGAGGGCGTGTTATCTTTTAGTGCATGTGTAAACAGATCTTGCAATGTCTATTTTCACAGAATCTTGCAATGTATACTGATTTTACTAGCAGGGGCGGGTGACAGGTTAAATTGTCAAGCCTTCCCCTTGCCTCTGGCAGTGTTTGTGTATGCACATCAGTATTGTTTTGTACACACCATGTGTTGAACTTGCACTTGGCCACCGTACATGGCCTGTCATCGTAGCAAAGATCACTCCGTGGTAAGGCCTCGGAGTGTTGCAATATATGAAATAACGTTGAGAAGTATCGTATAAATATGGTACAAATAACTCTCAAGAGCCAGTATTCGTGGTGTTTGACTTGATTTTAAAATGTGGCTGATAATTTGGCTAATCCTGTTGTTTAATCATTGAACTTGACTCTAGGTCAATCTAGAGGTTTGTCCATCAACACAACTAAACATTAAAAAAAAAATTGTATTGCACGTGCACTAAAAGATAACAAATGTCTTTCAACTTTTGCATTCTTCAAAAGATTAGCACACACTCCAGGCATGCTCAAGGCTTATCCGTGTAACTTGCTCAAGAGATTGACATTAAGGTCATATAAGTGGGTATTGGATTGACATCAAAGATCAAAGTCTTTTAAAGTATTAAATAGCGCTGAGAGGTTTTAACAATTCTTCATTAATTTGTTCTTTTCCCAGGTATTTCATCTTCACTTCATTTTGGGCCTACAAGATCTACTACGTCTTTGGCTTCATGCTCCTAGTCTTCTTCATCTTGGCTATTGTCACAATATGTGTTACCATCGTCTGTACATACTTTCTTCTAAATGCGGAGGATTATCGCTGGCAGTGGACAAGTTTCTTAGCAGCAGCATCCTCGGCGCTTTACGTCTATCTCTACTCTTTCTACTATTTCCTGTTTAAAACAAAGTGAGTCCAAACTATTTGATTTTTCTTTTTCTAAGGAAGGTTTGATGTCATTGTGGAATTCAGGCTGAAAGCCTTCCAAAGTAAAGTGCTACACAATAAGAAAAGAAAGAATGGTGGACTTTGAACAGGGACTTTGAAGAAAAGCAGAGCTTGGGCTACCACAGTGGGTTGCACAATGTGGTCAACTTATTCACTGCTGATTCTCCAATGCTGAAAATAATGCTCAGGTCACACAAAAAAAAGAAAGTGTTTGATATCGATAATTGCGGAACAAGCCGCATCTCGACACAAAATAATGATAAGCGCAACTAGGCTCATGCCACCTACAATGCAACGATGGTTCTGCGGCATTGAGGTGAACAGCTGACTTGTTAAAAATGGAGGCACACATTTTGTTTCAAACTGTGTATTTAACAGATTTTTCTATCTAAAAGGATTGTAAATTGTAGCGTTTGATGTGGCAATCAGATACTGGATAGTCATTACCAAAAATGAGTATGATTTTACTTTTACCTCATTTATTAAACCCTTGCACAAAGTCGTAACTTCACACAGGTTGACTGATTTCTGTTGCAGTGCAGAAGTTGAAACTTTTGTAATTTTGTGACTCAGTTTTTTTGAGTGCCAACTGATGTCAATCGTCTTAATATCGTCACAATTGTGCTCAGGTTGCAAAAAATTCGGCAACTGAAGAGTTTGGACTTAAGAAGCTCAGGCGCAGCTTGACTGTTCTGAGGGCCGCTTAAGGATACAATGTTAATGACTGTTTTTATTTATCCACAGAATGTATGGCTTGTTTCAGACGACATTCTACTTTGGTTACATGGCTCTGTTCAGTATAGCACTTGGTATCATGTGTGGTACCATGGGATACGTCGGGACAAGCACCTTTGTCAGGAAGATCTACTCCACTGTTAAAATTGACTGAGATCAACAACCGTTTGTATGTTGGAAGATGTCTTGAAAGCTCGGACTAATTTATAATATCCCCCAAACCTGTGCCTACATGTACACATCATCTTAATCTGCATTCACATTCTTGTACACCCCTGTCTGTTTGCTGAATTGATATTATGTTTACACGTTTGAACCAGATTCAAAACCATTCAAATTTGAATGTTAAATGGAACCCAAACTTAAAAATGGGACCTTTTAAATGTGCCAAAGGCCTTTCAGATCCTTCTACAAAGAATCAAGACGGTCTGTAAACTTTTTTATTTTACAAAGCACTTCAAAGCACCTCAGTCACCCCAGGAATTCATACATATTTCAATGACTGGCAACTATTAATGAGCCACCATACATACTGTACACAGTCTTTTGCATTTGATGTTACATGTATGTGTCTCTGGGCTAAGATCAATGCATGCGTACTGAGGCAGGCGTCAGCCTGTGTAAAGCGTTGGCCAAACATTTGAATGTTTAAACAGTGCATGAAAGTTTCACTAACTGTTAAACAACATAGATTCCCATCCTCACTTACTTATTTATAGGGTTTGTGTACAGACGTGTACTGTTGGGGCAATTCAGTGTCAGTTTAATTCACTGTATGTGAACTAGAAGAAAGTCATACGATGTCAATTCTTTTATTTGTTTTATGTTATTTTGGGTTTTTTTTAGCACAATGAGAAACTGTTGGATATTGGGTAATAAGGTTTAAAGACGTTAACATGATGGTTTCACTATTTTTTCAATTCAAACAATGTTGTTGGGAAAACCAAAATATAATCAATTATTCATGAAGCATTTTTATTAAATTGACTATCCGCTTTCTTTTTTAATATTGATTTGACTTGTGTTACCCAAGTGTTAAAGGGAATATACAACATTTGCTTTTGCTGTAATTTTCAGAAATGGAGGGATTTGGGGTTATTTTATAGCAAATATTACACTGACTTGAAGTTTTGTGCTTGTAGATGCTGGAAAACCAATAAAAGCAATCATGTTCCTGTAGTCTGGTTACCTGACCCCACTTATGATGAAACAGAGCAATTTATGGACGTCGGGGGAATTGTAAGGTTGGGAAACCAGTCTAGCTGGCTTGTACTCGGTCATAGGTGTGTAATCGATTGCAAACAAAATGCAGACTAACTAAATATGGTAAATTGGGGCAGTATTTGAAAAAAGGCCAGTTTTGTCCAACGCTGGTCGGCTGACCAGCGTTGCAAAATGACACAAAAATACCACTTTTCTTGAAAATGACAGCACACCAGGTGCCATGATTTTATAGGATACTTTAAACTGTCATTCACTAACAGTCCAGTAAGGTATTTATGATGATATGGTAGTTTTGTTTTTTGATGTTTGCAAATGTTGTATATTCCCTTTAAATTTGATTGTAATAGATAATTCTGCATGCTTAGGCACCAGCAACTACCTGCTAGAAGCTATAGAGCTTCCACAAACACATGCATACCTGAACAATTCAGGATTTTAGCTTGCTGCTCAGACAAGTAATCTTTCATTACCGTTTTACTTTGGCAAGATCAGTTCCGACGCTCATTTCTGGGACTAAAATACAGCACGGATTGTTTGATCTAAGTTAATCACTTCCACATCTAATGCAATGTTTGGGACAGCATGCTATGCCTGTCTTTAGAAGACTCGGCATGATTGCACCAAGCAAACCTTCAAATCTCATCCATCCTGTCTGTTGTATATGACAGGTTTCTGCCACAAAGTCTGAGCCTGATATAAGAATGTGGTTTGTAGGCTGAAAGCCACCTCAATGCTCTATTTCTTAGCATATTTTGCCAAAAAAATATTTTTAATGTGTTTTGTGGGAAACATTCTCAAAAGTAAATACCCCATTATACATACACCTTGTGTTGAAAATAACTCATAATTTTGTATATTTTTCAAGTATTGTTCATATTTAGTGCAAAGTGCAAATATAAGTTTGAAAACATTTTGTGTCCAACATATTGATATGAACATTGGATATTTTGGTTTTCTCCTGTCTTTAAAAATTATTCCTTTTTGTGGGGTTTTGCTATGTACATTATGTAGATTGGTCTGTACTAATTGAATAAGATGTGAATATTTTACTCGTTAATAAATGCAGAAGTAGGTTTACAACTAAAAGAATGAAACACCTTTCATTCTACTTTCTTCATTGTAGAATCCTGGCTTGTACATTTGAAACCATTTGAGACCGTACATGTTTATGGCATATGATAACGCTTCACTTGGTGTCAAGGTTGTACTGCTCCCCTAGTTTATGCAATCATTGCTCCTTTGTACTCGGCCTCAGAAATATTTTAGTTGTATTTGTTCATTAACAGTTTTTCTTGTTAGTGCTTTTTGGTTCACATTTATAAAAAGTTAGCTGAAGAAGCTCTATTATATTAGTTGCCTGCAGAAACAAAAACATACATATTGGTAGATTCTAGGAAGTCTCAGTATTTGTATGACTTGATATATTGTACCCGGCTAACATGACAAAGCTGTTTGTGGGTGGTATTTTATGCCATTCTTTTTATTTCGGTGATTTTTTTGTTAATGCGAACTCTTTACAATTATGTTTTTAGTTCTTGATACTTTCTGGCCGATATGTACATGAAATTGTATTGACAGATTACCTATATTAAGATTGATTAATTGATCTGTAAATTAATTGACTACCAAACCACCTATCCAATAAAACATTGTCTATTTATCCTGCTTGTAATGGCACACATTTTGTTGCTTTTGAGAAGAGCATCAGTGTTGAGATAAATTTACTTGAATGAGAAGTTCAAAAACCTGCCAACAATGTGAATTCTAAGGGCTGGAATATTCGTATATTTGGCTCAAATGCCAAATATAAGTACAAATTAGTGACAACATGGCAAGTGTTTCCACTGTAAATTTGCAAAAAGTTCACATATGAACCAGTCCTTATACAGAAGATAAGACCAACATTTGGTGTTGTGCATGAATACATGTAGTTGGAAATCAGTTGTGCCAACTACACTTAATACATGCAGGGTTTGACTGAGAGACAAGTTTAATTGTACAAGACAAATAAAACAAAATTTACATGTACCACATGGCTGTAAATACAAACTCTGGATGTGGATAATTTGAGATGGAGTGCAAGTGTCTGCAAGGAAATGCTAGTTGTTGCCAAAGTGCAAATGGTATATACTGAGTGAATTAAGTCATAGATGGGATGTCATCAAACGAAGCAAACTGTTGCACTGATGTAAGACTGTTTATAAATCAATTCACGTGTAAGATATCTGATTCTTAGTAGCGGATTTGTAAATAGCTTTGTATATTTTCTGTGTCTATGAGTGGAAGTGGGTTTATTGTCGATTTTTGTTGTTGAATTATTTATACATTGGTTAAAGTTGAGGTAGCCATATCTTGTGTGTATTTTTGAAGTACTTAAGGTTATTGGGCCTCATTTATTACTCAATTCATCCACAATTCAGTTAAAACTGAAGTTCGTTTCAGGTTGATGGGATCATAAGAAGATTTACAGGATTGTTTTTGTGAAGGGACTGAAAAGTCACAAGCTAGTAAACAATGTTATGAAAGGCTACTTTTGTAACCAAATAAAATATTTGGTACTTGTATGATTAAAGTAGTATTTTTTTTTTTATTGTGAGCCCTTATGTAAGGACAAAGTTTGTGTTTTGCATTGAAATAGTTATATTCTTAGTTGTAAATTTCCATGATATATCTCTCTTTGTTTGGATTATGTTAAGAAACTTATAAGATTCTGACAATTTCAGATCTGGTCGACAATTTCAAGAAATGTTCATTTTTTTCTTATTGTAACAGAACTGGTCGTGCAGATGCATACATTTTAGGAGTAGTCTATAATATATCTCCCAAATCATACTTGTAGTCTACCTTGTTGGTCTAAGTTGTATGTAGCTGCTCAATACACAATGTCAGATGTTTTGCTCAGCAGACACAGCGACAGTTTACCAGCCTATATGCTATGTACCTCTATTTTGCTAAAACATGTCAGTGGGTGTTTTTTGATATGCGGTGTAACGAGTTCAAAGGGGGTAAGCATGAAATGAGCATTCAGTTTTTGTCTGTTTTTGATCGTTTGGTTTGGGTGCAATCCCATAGAACCACAACTAAATAACTTGTGCTTAAAAAGATCAAGTGAAATGAGTTGCCAAGTTATCAGTTTGTATTGATACTTACCAATGGTTTTGAAAGGAATGATTTCGATTGCCTTCTGTGCAAGAACAGTACATGTAGATGACACTTTTTGACCACTTTTGAGAGCCCAAAGGATGGGCCACACCACGTCCATGTACTGGTTTCGCACGTGTGTGGGCTAAGTACACACGACTAATGTTATTGTGAATGTGCACAAAGCGATAGGCGTCTGCAATGAGCGATAGGCGTCTGCAAAGTGTTGGAATGTCCCTCCCAGTGTTCTCCCTCCCCCCCCCCACTCCCCCTCTGTGACCATTGAGAGGGTACTATATCATACAAACTTGGAATCAATGGAGCAAGAAGTGTTTAATCTTGACAAGCATGGAACAATCTATGTCTTTCAGTGGAAACCAATACTTGCAATTGGCTCATTGTCAATACATCTGTACCGTTACACATGCAATTGTCTGCTAATTTGGTCAGGGGTTGCATTAAAGCTATAGTCCATCATTTGTAATTTGTGCATTTTGTTCGTTTGAAGCAACAAAAGGGTTCAAAATCTAATGAAGGATACTGAACAACTAACCTGATGAAGTTTCAGCTAAGCTTCAGCTGTACATTCCGAGAAAAACAGCATTCTAAGATCTTTATTTCAAATCAAAAGTTACTGAATCATGTTTGGAATTGTTTTGAATTGTACACGACGTCGCGCACTGATCCGACGAATTATAACAACCGCGCGCGCGTGTGCGTCGTTCCAATACTTGTGCGCGCTGCGCTGAATAACAAAACGAACTACTAATTTAAATTTTCCTATGGTGCTTCTTAAGAATCACCGTTGGAAATGCCTTCTTTCGTTGATTACTTCAAAATGACAGCTTCCCAGAAGGAATAATTTCACAGGGAGTTTAGCTCCCTTACAATCTTTCAACCAAGTTTGTTTTTCAACAATAATTACGCCAGTTACTTTTCGGATGGCTGCAAATGATGGACTATAGCTTTAATCCTAACATGTTTTTTTTACAAAGTTAAGTGTCTTCTCTTTAACTTCTATTTGATATCAGTATTGGCCATGTATATAGCAATGCAAAACATTCAAGCATTATTGTCCGTGCTCTTCAATTCTACTTTTTTTTCTCCATGAGAGACTAATCAACCTGTATGTGTATTTAAAAAAAAAACACTATTTTTTTGGTCACTTTTGTCTGGTTCCCAGTCCCTACATTATTTATTCTGAACCAGTCTACCATTCTAGAACTCATTTTTGCTGGGCCAAAAATAATTCAAAATGTGTAAAATAATTATTCAATTTAATTTAGGCCAGTTTTTCCATTTGATATCTCATTCAAAAGTAAATCACTTTTGTTCATTGCTTGAAAAAAATGGAAACTATTTTTGGGGGTGAAACAGCCGAAAACAATATAGACCGTACATACATATAATGTTAAAGAAGGGCATAGTGTCAATTCAATTTGTACTTTACAAGTCTTGATTTTATTTGACTTGATTTGATATTTTTAGGCGAGACCCATAGGCGAGAACAGAACCTAAGTAGTCCTAGGGTATGGGAGACCCATCGGACTTGGACTTGAGGATGGGGCGCCAGATGTCGCTGATGTAGAAACCGATGTC